ATTCACTTTGCGAGTATGAACATTTCAAAATTGATACTTTTCGACGCTTCGATAAATTTCTCACATCTCCTTTGTTCAGTTTGCAATAATTTCAACAAGTATTTTGAAAGAAGTGAAAGGCTTTCAACGTCTTTTTTACCTTTATTTCTCTCATTCCAACTGTATGTCAGTCTTGAACCCATGGCTCTGGAAGTGCACGTCCACAAACTCATATTTTGTAAATAAAACCAAGAAAAATACATTAGTTATAATGTAGTTTAATGCACTCTGTCGCGCTGCGAGTGGAAGCTCGATGTTAGCAGCTTCGAAATTGGCAAGTTAAAGAATATCGGATTTCTTGAGTAAGAATCCCTGAAATGCGGCTCAACGCGAGCTTTGCATATTTTTATTTTCGAAGGTAAACGCACTGGTGAAGAGCTCGCGTTGACGACTTTTCGTCGTTCTTCTCCAAATCAAGGCGAATTGCGAAATGCTCGCAAATGAAGCGAGCTTTCCGTGAGCATGTGATTGCGAAAAAGGAGAAAGGTCATAAACCTTGTCCCCTATTGCGAGCCCATTGTCTGCGTGAGGGAGCTGCGCCTCGTACATTCGTTTGCTGGATGAATTTGCTGGTGCGTTATATAGCTCTCTCAACGCGTCAGCTAAATCAATCCCTTATCAAATTTTTATTCCACGTACGTAGGAAGAGAATTTTCGTTTTTTTTTTGTTTCACAATTTTGAAGCTGTTCAATACTTTGTGAAATGGTAATCCGCTCACGTGATAAATGTTGGTCTCGCGTTGACAAATATCGACTGCTCTCTCGTTGGACAAATATACGAGCAATATCTTTGTGGAGTATCGCGAATCGCAGTAGGTATACGCGGTGACAAGTATGATTCAGTGCCGTACGCAGTCGCACACGTATCATCCGCACAAGTCGGCTCAAAGTTTCTCGCTTCTCCATTACGGAAGTTTAACGAAGTTTAACTCGAGCTATTTGATCTTGTCGTATCGGAGTAAGAGTAGGGCCGATTATCCGATGTCTTGCGATACGCTCGCAGTGACTGACTCTCGGCTCACGCATACGGATCGAGCCAGTGTGAATCATCGCAACTAGCGAGGCAGTCCGGCCTCGTTACCCTATACAATATAGCAAAATGTATGAAAAAGCAAAGCTTCGATCAGGCTTTCCGGCATTACTTGGCGCCTGCACGATCGACAGATTCTCGCTCAGTTGTCAGCTGGTGAGGCGTAATCGTATGCGGCGACGGCTTGCTTGACGAAGCCACGATTCAACTCGGTTTTTTCCTAATTATTTCGTGGATTATTCGTTTTACATAAGACTGAGCGATGACATGAGAAAATTGCACTTATCGATGAAAAGTCGCGGCGCGTTTGAGACGTTTGAGATTCGAGGGGACTTCTTGCTCCAATGGGATGTCGCGGCTGTTAGTAGGCCGTATCGTCGAGTCGCTATTATTACGTATCGAGCTGCGAAGAGCTCTCGATCCATAGCTTGTCGTTCAGAGGCCTGTTCGGGGTAAAAATATCAGTCGTTGATGCATTGGATATATATCGGCTAGAAGCTTCACTTGGTAATTGACCATAGCAGTTTGTTGCTCTCCTCGGGTTGCTGACCCTCAGCCACGCATGCTCTGTCTCTCTCTTTGTCTCTCTCTCTTTCTCTCCTTTACCCGTTTGCCGCCCTTGTGTAGCGCTCCTCTCTTACTCTGCACTGGCGTATCTATGTTGACCCGTCGTCGTTTACCTACCACATGTACAGCTGGTGTAGGTGCTCGCCCTCGCGACTCACGCACATACATGCACGTAGCAAAGCATATACGCTCGCATTATAAGCTGCCTATGTACATTGGTCTTGTGCAATGCCGTGTGGCGAGAGTAGCTTGCTTTATTCGCTCTTTCTCTCTCTCTCTCTCTCTTGTCCTATTTATCTCTTTGTCTTTTCTCGACGTTCGTCTTTTCTCTTTCTTTTACACCGAGTTTTTGCTACGCAATACATAGCACGACAACGCCGTGCTCGCATACCTCCTTTAACTTTACCTTCCCTTCGTTCGTTATCCTACTTCTTTGTGCAGTCCACCTTCTTTCTCTCTTTCTTTCTTTATTTCTTTCTTTCTTTCTTTCCATGGCAACTCGGTTGAACAAGCTCGGCATAAGACCCACAGCACTTGTATTACCCGTAATTTGACCATTGAGTCGCCGATGATCGATGCCATTCTCGACTCTGTGCACTGACTTTTTACCCGAGATTCCTGCAGACGCTTCATTCTCGGCTCTCTCAATTCCGATATTTTATTACCGACTCTTACATTCTCATTTAAATACTGTGTCGGAGCATTAATACAACCTGTCGAGTTACTACACTTTTCTGAAATACTACTGCTATTACGCACACCTGTCTTTACCTGCAATTTCACATTTCTATATAGTAAAAATTCACAGCGAGTCGTGAGTAAGAAACAAGTTTTAAATAATTTTTCAAGAACTATAAGCGGCGTCTAAATTTTTGTCAACTCTACTTGAATACTCTAAATACTCTATTTATTCTTCAAGACGATGCATCTATCTAACTTCTGGGAATTTATTTTTCTCACCTGTATAAGGGAAGATTGATAATAGAAGTAAAAATATGTCAAATACGCGTGAATTCAATGTAATTGCTTTCGTTAATTTTCTTATTATTGGCATAAGCGTCTTATTAGCATGAGATAGAGACGTTAATTGCAATTAAAGTTACGTGTTAAATTAAATGCAACAAATAATTTATTTGAATGAATTATTCTCGGCAAACTTTTAATTTAATTTTTATAAGGCATTGTACTAATGTCTGTACATTTGATGATTGAAATCGAATTGAATTTGATTTTAATATTTACTATCTGAATTTACTATGGGAATTCGGTGGATTGACGAAATGAACCAGAATTTCTACGTTGCAATTTCTTTTACAGCGAGTAATATTCGACGAGATCGAGTTAATTTTAGGGAGCATCTCCAACTCCTTAAGAAAACCCCCGACATCATCGTTGGTAGGAATATACGAATTATCCCGCGGACTATTTGTGTGAAAATAGGCTGGCAAAAAGCTTCCTCATATAGAAAAATGATTTTTTTAAGTATTACGAATATAAAATAACTAAAGTTTTATTATTGATAAAACAATTATAAATCTTCAATTGAAGATGATAAAAAGAGGGTTGCAGAGAGTAGATTGTTTTCTGAGTACATATCTAATTCTATGAGAAAGCAAGAGTACAACTTTTCATTTTGAGTCTGTAAATTTCATAATATTCTTCGAATCTCTACGTTTTTGATTTCGAATTAAAGCTTGACTGCTCTATTTTCATGATTACTACTTTTCATTGATACAATAAAAATCGATAAAATAATTTTTATTTGTTGGGAATTCGATCTAGTTTACAAATCTGCAAACCAAATTCTTCTACGACATCTGGTCTCGAAAAGTATGTTTTCGAGCATATCGCAGAGCTTCCTCTACGAGTAAGCAATATGTAAAGTACGCGCAAATTCAAAGTTATCGGTTTCGGTAGTTTTCTTATTATTGTCATAAGCATCTCATTAGTTGAGTTGGTGTGCACACGATTTGTATGTGCAGTCTCAGGAGCTCGGAGTCGAGTTGTCGCTTTGACTCGCGTTACGTAACGAAGATGGACGACTTCTGAATCACGTAAAATGTTTCGTTCTGACTCATGAATAAAATATACTTGTAATTACTTCTTTATCAAAACGGAAACTTTTCAGTGTTTGATTTTACTCAGGCAATTGGAGTCCGCAGAACGTGTGTGAGAATCGATCGCGTAATTTACTCGAACGACGCACGTCATCAGCAATATTTAGCCGTACATAGCAACTTCTTTGTCTTTTCCCTCGAAAGCATTAAACGCCAGCGGTGACAAAGACGACGGCGCGTCGGTGCAAAAGAAAGAGAGAGAGAGACACGGGACAGCAGGCCGCAAGGGTTACAGGCAGCCCCTACGCGTTGCAAGACACGTATATTACGCGTATTATACATTCGCGTTGATTCTCGGCAGTGAGCTCGTCAAAGCTCGTATCTTACGTCGTGCGTAGCTTTTGTAGCTCGACGTTCTGAGCACGCGAGTTTACGCCTGATCCTATACAATAGCTCGAAACCCGAGAGCATCCCGAACCGCTCGATTCTGCCTGGCTTCGAGTACAAGGCAAGTTAATGCGAGACGTCAACTTTTACGTGTAGGCAACGTAATGCCTATATGTGCCAAGTCGTCCTTGATTTTTCATTTTCACGGTCCACGAGCTTGCTCGACTGCAGCGTAGCGCTTTACGATTCTTTGATCCGACTTAGCTTTGGTTGATTTCGGCGTCGAGCACTAACAGTCATTTGAACCCAACAGAATTTCAACTGGTGTTGTCACGAGCATGACAGCTAAACCGATGACTGTATCACGATTTGAAGTAATTCTTATATATTTTAGTACAATTTTTCCGAGGCATCAGGCAAGTTGCTAAATTTTTGCAGGCTATTACCGAGGCTATTTTCGAAATCGTTAAACTTTGCAGATTGAGCGACGTCATCCGTTGTTTTCTCATCTGAATTTTTAGATAAGCAAGGCGAAAAAGTTTTGTCCTTCTAAACACGAACGCACAGTACCGAATCTCAAACTTTTCAAACATTCGTGTATTCTATATTGCTCATTTTTTCTGCCCAAAATTCATTTTCTATAGAACCAAAGGATAAGTGAATTGAAGAAAAATATTCAACATTATAATAAATAATTTGTACACTGTCATTTCTCAAATATGGTACGGACTATATGAAATGACTTGGATATCTATCTATAGGATACAGGCAATGCGTTGTATTTTGACAATTGAATATGGAGGGTTAGGTTCATTCGTGTTTATATTATTGAAGCTTTTTTGCGCATGATGTAACGATTGGAACGATGAGCGATGGATCAATGGAAAATGAAATGACAATGTCGTTATTGGCTGTTTCAGGGATGCACTGCTTGGGAGCCGGCGTCGGCGGCCAGTCGAGCCCAAAGTCGAGCTCGGGAGCGGCCGGGAGTCTGCTGAACGTCGTCAGAGCCCTCGGGGTGCTCGTGAGCGAAGGTCGCATCCAGGGCGGGCCCCGCGGCTACAAGGAGGGACCGCACTGCGTGGCGCCTCTCCAGGCCGCGCCCAACAACCACGTCTGCAAGAAGGACAATTACCTGGTGAGAAGAGCTTCGCTTTTCCGATCGTTTCTATTCACGGGATAATGGCTATGATGTAATGTGTGGGGTAACGGGAATTGCAGTGCGACCGCTACCTGGTGCTGGTGCGCGAGATCAGCGAGCGACTCGAGTGCGGCACGTACCTCTGCGTCGAGGTGGTCCTCTGCAGCGACTGCCCCTGCGGACTGATTAAGTCGAAGAACGAGCATCGCGTCCTGTCGAGCTCGAGCCTGGCGGCGCCCTGGCAGCAGTCGTCGGAGATGCTGCTCGAGTACTGGTGCATCTGCGTAGTCGCCAGCAAGTGAGTAGCCTGCACAGCACTGCACACGCAGCACGAGCTATAATAGCCGGAGCTGCAAGCGACGAGTGAAAGTCCCGAGAAAGTCGAGCCCGTGCCGCCTTTGCTATACTCGTTCCAGCTCGGCTTCTTTTTTTTCCAGCGCGTTACGCGCGCGCCTTATTTTCTTATCGTTATTTTTTCGCTTTTCTCACGAGTCGCGCATTTCGCTCATCCTCTCCGCCATTTTGACTCTTTTTGCACGCGAACTCTCGCACAACGAACGATTGTCTCGGGGAACGGGGACTGTTACGAGTACGCCAAGTCGGCTCGGCAAATTGGAAAATAACGATCGCTGGCAATTAAAGCTCGCTCGAGTCGGAGCTACGCGCGACTCATTTGCATAAACGCACGTGGTCCGTAACGCAACGGAAGAGCCGGACAAAACGAGTTGTTCCAGCTAATCGTTTCTCGAGGGCTTAGCCGTGTATTCATATTGCTGCAGCCGAGTGCACCGACGAAATGCACTCGATCTTTCAACTTTGACGCATCGGTTTGACCCACAGGAACCAGGAGACGATGAACTCGCAGGGCTTGTACCAGGCAGTCCGCTCGAGGCTGCACTTCAGTCAAGTGGCCGCCTGGTGGTCGCGGACCAAGGGCCTGAATCCGAGCTACGTGGCCACTCGAATCGTCCAGCAGCCGATCAACGGCGAGGACCACCTGAGGCGCTTCCGCGAGACGCCCGTTGAGCACACCTTCCCGCTGGCCGGTGTAGGCGATGGCAACTCCCTCAAGGTAATTCTCGTTCACTCCTCTCTCGTCCGCTCTCGTCCATGCGACCAACATAACTAATAGACTTCAGCCACGCTCTCTCCATACTGTTACTTTAGACTTTGCGGAAATGCAGACTTATCCGGTCCGAAGCTCTCGATAAAGCATTGCCTAGGTAAAGCCTTGTGTGCGTGTATTTTAGGTTACCATGTGGGCTCTGCCGCGGATGGACGAGACCCCGGTGCTCAAGTGTCCGGCGCATCCGGAACTCACGGCGACGTCTCAGGCCACGAGCGCTCAGCAGACGAGCACGAGCGAGCTGCAGGCCGAGGGCATGGAGAGCGGCGGCGCCACTCAGACTCAGAGCAGCTGTCCCCGGGCCGCGACACCCACCAAACTGCTCATACCGACGGACGAGGACGGCTGCAACGGCGAGAACAGCGCCGCGTCTCCCGGCGAGCCCGGCGGAGTCATCGACGGCCTCCTCGTGGCGGAGCCCGGGCCGGCCTCGAGCGCCACCTCGAGCGAGCCTGGCCAGCAGCACTTGGGTAACGGCATGTCGAGCAGCGCCCCCAACAACTCGCTGGCCGGCGGCGGCGGCGACGCCAAGTTCGTCTACTACATGAGCTCGTTCCGCTCGACGGCTCAGCTGAACGAGTGCAACCAGCCGGGAAAGCACAACTGCCCCTGTGCCGTGGCCACCGCCGAGGAGGACGACGAGACGACGAGCAGCGCACCGCCGAGGGTCGAGCGCAAACGACGCCGCTCCTTGCCCTGCGGCCCGCCACCGGCCAGCTCCTCCTCGGCCAGCTACAGCGCGCCCCCTCCCTCCTTGAACAACAGCCCGCCCGAGCGGACGAGCTTGGAGCAGCACCTGCCGGCCTTGCGGGAAGCCAATCCCGACCAGAGTCTCGGTCCCGCTGCACTCGACAGCCTCGACAGCCTGGACAATCTCGAGAGCAGCTTTCGTATTCAGCTGAGTATCGACGAGCACCAGCAGAAACAGCAGCAGCAGCAATGCAGCGCCAAGCACCTGGAGAAGCGACTCAAACGCTCGTACTCGGAGGAGCATGCGCCAGCCAGCTCGGTGGCCACGAGCTCCCATGCTCCCTGCTGTCCGGAGCCCAAAGTGCCTTCTTCCACTCGATCTCCGACAGCCGACAAAGGCGCTACTCGCGTGACCAATCTGCGCCTCAATCCGCTCTTGCATCCCGAAGCTGCCGACGCCTGCCAGAAGGTAAGCATCCGTCCATCGACTCGCAACGGCTCGAATCGTGCCTCGAGCTACGCGACCGTATTAATTTTCAACCTTTTGTCCACCATTAGCAATCGGCTGGCATTCTCGACTGGATCAGCAGTCGGGTGCCCCGGAATTCCGGCAGTTCCAAGCAGACCAGCATCGTCGGCCGCTGCGAATCTAGCTCCGCTTCGGGAAGGCGCAACTGCAATCTCGACCTCAGTCCCAGGGAGTTCGACGAGGTGCTGGCCGTTTTGCGGGCGCGCACGCCTCTCGGCCGACGACGCACTGGATTGCGCACGGCCAAGCGCCGAGACAAGTACGACCGACTCGTCAACGAACAGACTCACTCGTCTCAACCTCAGTCTCCGACGGCTACGCAGCGCCAGCAAACGCTTCAGCCACCGCCGCAGCAGCAGCAGTCCTGCAACAAAGCCGAGGTATTGCTCGGGGCCATTCTACGATCGAGCAGCAAAGAGACCGTCGAGCCGATCGATCCTAGCCAATCGAGCGTCAGCGATGTCTCGACGGTCATCAACAAGCGCTTCTTTCAACTGAAACATCTGTTTACGCGCAACGAGCAGCAGCAGCAGCAGCTACCGCAACATTCGCAACTTGCGGCTTGCGAGCATAGGGCGAAACGTCGCATCGATTTTTCCGATAGTACCGAAGACGAAGAGGACGAAGACGAGCGAAACAACGAAGCCGCCCAAGAAAAGCCTCCGGAAGAACAAGATTCAAAGAGCAAGGCCAAGCTGAAAGCAGAGCTGCCTCTGGTATCGGTCAGTCTGGACGTAGATAACGCGAACGCGACTTTCGAAGACGAGGTCGACAAAGGCAGTGTGCCATCGATGAAAGATCAGGAGCGCTTTCGGCGCTCGCTCGAAAATGCCGCCTCGATGGTTTTCCACAGTAGGACCGGACTACCGCTCACCTCTAGTCCCGCACCTTTGCGCCGTGGAAGTTGCTGTTTCGACTTCGACAGCAGCCTCAATAGCGTCTCCTCAAAACGAAGGTTTGTTATATTACTTTTATCCTCCTCCGTTTGTAGTGAGAGCCAAGCTATGTAACATTTTATTAGACACTGCTTGTCCGCACTTTGATATTACAGCGCACTTTTTGAGCTGAACACACCTCCGAGCCCAGGCGCAGTGTCGCTCGAAGACAACGACAAAGAAGTCGAAAATATCTGTGATATAAGTGGCGAGGTTCGCCGAGGACGATCGGCCTCCGGCACTCGACCCCAGAGCCATGCCCTCTTGGGTAGTTTCGAAGAATCAGCGCTCAACGGCAGGCTCGAGCCAGTTTCAACGGTTCACGGTTTCACTGCTGAAATTGGCGCGAGTGGCTCGTTTTGCCCGAAACATCGAAAACTACCGGTCACTGTATTTTTTTATACTCTCGGAGATATTGAAAAAGTGTCGTCTCCATACTTGGTGAGTAGCGCTCGACTGCAATCGACCATTTACTACTTGTTACTTGTCCATAATTTGAATAATTTTATAATTGGTGCGCGCATTTTTTTGCAGGCTCACATAAATCTGGGCAAGAAAGGATACCAGGTACCTAGAAGTGGAACAATTCAAGTGACCCTATCGAATCCGTTGGGAACCGTCGTCAAGATGTTCGTAGTACTGTACGACCTCTCGGACATGCCACCACGATCTCACACCTTTTTGCGGCAGCGAACATTACGCGATAAAACGTTACGTTACCTTATTCATCTTAGGTAATGCTTCAAACCAATGATTCATTTGCACGCCACTCGTATTGATTACCACGTATTATACAACTGCAACTTTTTTACACAGATTTATGTCTGGAAAGTCTGGACGTATTTACTTGCACACTGATGTCAGGATGATCATCTGTCGTAAATCAGACGTCGATACCGCTTCGGACTTCGGATCTGAACCACCGAAAGAATTGCGCAGCTACATTCACGGACCGACTAATCCAAAATTTTCGCCAAGGTGCTGAGCCTTGTGGCTCTTCCCGTGGAGTTGCTGCCAGCCACCGAAAATCTCTGAACCTCAGCCCGTCTACGTGTGAAAATATATTTTCTCCCTGACTTTCCTGGACGCTTCTGCAGTCTTTCATTAAGCCATACAATAATAAGGCTTATAAAGAGATAATCATGTACCGAGAGTAATTCAAATGACTGGACTAGGTACGGTGGCGTTTGGCACCCCGTTAGGGAACAATTAAAACAAAACAAAAATCATCGAAACCCAAGGTATTTTGTCAATCAATTTTTGTAGTCTTTCGTTATTTTTTCAATTCATACCGAACAGTTCTAATTTGTTCAATCGACGCCTTGCTATTTTTTCAAAACTTAACTTATGATTTTATAGATTCTCTGCGTTCTGTATAACTACATTAACGTATACCATTTGATTTACAAATGAATAGAAAAAATGTGCTGTGTAAAATGATGCTGTGCAACTTGAGTCTTGAAAAATAAGGTGTCTTGTACGTTCTTACGGCAATTTTTTGATTATTTTTGGTTGACTTCAGAAGTGTCTTGAACAATGTGCTCGTGATTTTTCCAGAAGTTAATGAGTAATGCATTTTCTCATTAATCTGTACATAGAAATTGTTAAAACTATCGAAATCATCCGGAAAATATTTTGCGTGGGATGATACTGCCATGTACGTAGCTCCCTGCTATATTTATGACGATGAAATAATAAACAAAAGTGATACTAGAAAGAAAAAACGATATTTATTAAGTATTCGAGGGCTTACGAAGTATGACATTCTTGCAATAACAGTAGCGAGGACAATAGAACTATTCAGTACTAAATCAAATTCGAACTACAGGAATGCCAATATTTTGGACGATAAAAATCGGTTCATATGAACTTCTACAAAGAAGTAAAAAATATTTACATGTATAAAATGAACACATTTTTGTGTCCATAGCACTGTGATGATTATACTACATATAAAAAATATATAAATATATAAATAGAAATGAAATATCTGTTAAAGAGTAACTATTTGAGTAGAATATAAATAAAATTTAGGATAATTACCAATATTTACTCAATCGAAACGAGAACAAAATGCAACTATGGTTACAATATATAAAAAATCACTCGTATTTGTTGAATGGTGATACTATTCACCTCAAGTCTTTATTTTCATAATTCGAGATGCTTATTTTTTGTAGAAAACCAAATCCATATCTAGATGTGAAACAAAAAGAAAAACGTTCATATAAGTACGTAATCAAAAGCTGCTTATAAATAATTTTTTGAATTTTGCGAATAAAAACGTTCCTGTTTTTATATAATATTTTTAGAACTCAATATTTTTCTGTAAACTTGTGAATTATATAGCTGCTTTTTGTAGTAAACGCAAGTTGAAAATTAATTTTTTGTACCAAGTACAATTCATGAAAAACATATGATTTTTAAATAACTAAGAGCGCAATTAAGGATACTGAAATCTCATCAATTACCTTCACACTGTACGTGTTCAATATTTATCTTAATTGAAAAATGTTTGTGGTCAATTCCATTCAATATTAATTTTATTTTTCTTGATAGAAAGTGCGAACGTATCTGTGTTCAATAAATAATTCAATTTTAAGTTTATTTTATTAAATCATGGTATTAAAAATAAATTTGCTTAATCTGTTTATGCCAAAATGTTATGCTTATGTAAATAAATTTTAAAATATGTAACGTGTAATGGCAATATCGTAAATGAAATTAGTCGAAAATTAAATTGAATCTCATCATTGGTCAATGAGCATAAAATTTTAAAATGATCTATTATTGAATACGAAACCGAACAAAATTAATTTGAAATTTCTCAAAACAATAAATAAGTTGATCACTGCCATCGGGTATGTTTTATTTTTATCCAAATGAATTATTTATTTTAATACTTCTTTTGTTTTATTTTGAAAATTGTATATTCTCATGGTGAGCATACAAAACCAAATGTTTATTTAAAAAATCTTTTATTGAATGTATATTTTATATGCTGATTGTAAAAATCATTATGCTTTATTATATGATTATAATTTCAACATCTTTGTTAGTCAATTTCATTTGAATTAAAAGCCTATTTGTAAGTTGATAAGTATATTGTTTGATAAATTATTTGTTATAAAATATTTTTATTACTTTGAGCGCAAATAGTGTTACAGATGAAAATGTATAAAAATATTGTTTGATGCAATAAAAATAAATTAATGAATACTACAAATTTTGTTTTTATCATCATTTTATTCCATTTTTCGATTTAATTCTCATTTCAAAACACTATTTCCTTATTTCCAATTACCAGAAATAGTGTTAATGATAAGTTGTTGTACAAAAGACATGGAAAAATGGTACAAAACAACAGAAATTATTAAAAACTTCATATGGTTTATACCTCTACGAGTATCAAATGATCCCTAGCAGATTAAACTAGTTGAATGGCATATATTAGTTATAGATTAAATGTTTATCATTGGTAAAATTTTTTCCCAACTCATTGTCACGTGAAAATATTTTCTCTTCAGACAAGCTGAATGCCGTTTTAGGATTTAAAAAATCTTGAAAATAGAATTTTCACAATTTATTCATCATTTATTCTTAAAATTGCGTATTAAAATACGCATTCATATTTTACTCCATTAATGCATACATTAAATATTATGGTGCTCAACTTATAATTTCTATTCTTAATTTATCTCTGTTAATCTAATTATTTAAAAATTATTTGCAATAATAATATAATTTAATGTCATAGGAACGAGTCCACAAACCTTTTTGTAGAGTTTTCCATCGTGAATATTCTCAGTAAAAAAACTTGTAAAAATGTAATGCAAAGATTTCGTCTATAAATGTTAATTTTATTTTTATCACTATTCAAATTTGGATTCGTTCATATGAACGTATTTTTACATTTAAATGAAAGCATACAAGTTGTAGATTCTTTATTCAGGGTTATTTATAGTTTATTCAATTTTGAATAAACATTTTGCATAATAATTATAATGTGAAACGATTAATGTTATCAGAATCCAAATTTTTTGCTGCAGATTAATCTAATCCCATAAAATTAATTTTATTATAATGTTATTTTTTATCATTATCCACTTATAATGTTATTATTATCTAAAATAATATACAAAAATGCACCTCTTAAAAATTAAATTTTTTTCTTAAAAATATGCAGGTAAAATTGCTAATTTTTTTGTAAAGCCGATTATTTGCATTGTAATGTTTTCCTTAATTTTGAACTAATATCAAGATTTTTCATTTTCATTATTTTACTTCATGCAGTTTCAAAGAATTGCTCATATTATTCAATAGATAATTTCAATGACAATTGCAGTAGTACATAATTAAAAGTGAATAATTTTTAATCACAGTAGGTACTTGGAATCTCGTTAGCAAAGCAAATTTTAGTTTTGAAAAATATACATTTATTTACAAATCTTCTATTTCCAAACTTGCACAACAACTCATGTTGCAGAAATTGATTACGAACTTTAAAAAAAGTTAATTAATTCACACTGATTAGTGATATGTCATTATTGTTACAAGCATGTAGGAGAAAATTATGGAAATTATTACGGAAAAGCTACATAGTGAAAATTAAATTATTCATGTAGAATAATTAAGGATATCCAATAAAATGACGTAAACGTATAAACATGATAAAAATAAATACAATCAAATCAGTCTAGTAGTTTTGGTTCGACGATTTCCTTCTGTTAACAATGATTCGCCCGCAAACCATTGGGAAGTCTGTGCCCTTGGGTATGACCCATCGTCAGTTGCCTGGTTGCCATACTGTTGCCACATTGGCTACTCCAATCTGCTGTCGGGAGTGACGTCCGATAAAATTTCGAAGATGTTTTATTGAAAATTGGCAACAGTTCATTGGCTTCATTTGACAATGCCTTTTAAAAATGAAATAATATAATACCATGATGTACTATTACTACTTTAAAATTTGAATCATACCTTCAAATAAACGACAGCATCAGTTCCAAATCCCTCGCAACTTAGTAAAACAAGATCTCCGTGAAAATATCGCGCATAAAGCCTCGATAATGGAAGTCCGTATCCGTATCCTGCTAGAGGTACGGTATGAGCATCAGATTTACTCGGCTGCGGTGCCGTGCTGTACATGTATTTGAACAAGTAATCCATTTGCGAACGAGGTATACCGCCCCCACGATCAGACATCTACCATACGAAAATGAAAAGAGGTGAAGAACAAATTGTGAATTTTTCATGCAATTATCATAAATTTCATATTCATTGTACCTCATTGCTTCTTATGGGTTTTGCTTATAAAATTTATTTTTAATATAATTTTACGATATCTATTGACAAGTAATATTTATATACCTTGACACATATATCTTCTTTTCCTTGAATTACAGTGACTTCCAATGGTGGATAATTATCAGCGTCAACTCCGCAATGCTCCATAACTGCTCTCATACTATTTTTGAATAATTCAAAGAGCATGTGATACAAATGACTTGGCACATAAATTATTTTTATTCCACTATTAACTGCAGTACCTACAGAATGAAACATTTCACTACTTAGAAAGTGTCGATGACAAAATTATCGGTCAATGATATCTTCCAAAAACATAATTATAATAATCATTAGGCTATAAACTTACTATTGAATTGTTTTACCACAAGATCAGGGCTAGCCATATAATATTGATCGCATAAAAATCGAGCATTTTCGTAAGCATCTTTGACTACGCTGATAACGTCACAATGTGGATCGATGCAGCCTATATGTCTGTTATGGCCATTTAACACGCCGCCAAACAATAAAGCTAAAATTGTATATTAATATTATTATTTTCTTTCAATAATGACTTCAGGATTTTGATTATTTTCAAAACTATTAAATAGGTTTTTAATGAAAGAGGCCTTCTAAAGTAAATTGTGGCTCATGTTTTACTTGAACGTGTAATCGATTTGAAACATCGAGTACTCGCACATACAGATGATTTAAATGGATATACTTTCTCTATAATCGTAAAATAAGTAGACGTACTATGTTGGTTGATTAGCATTCTAATTGAAATGCGGGACATGTAAAATCTGTCGAGAAAATACTGAATACTATTTTCAGTTTGCGCATCCACATCGTGCGAGTCTTTTAGTTCCAAAATTCCTTGAGCCATTGTCTGCACAATATCCGTGTGCCTGTTTCTGATCTTGACTAGTGCTTGGCAAAACCTGCGATTACACATAAACATCCATATAAGAATCTCGAATGGTACAAGACGGATATTTGCGCTAAAGATTATTGGAAAGTGCTTACTTGTCTAGAGTATTGTCGCTGACTTCAACTTTTTCAAATTCAATTATTTCTTGAAAGGAAGTGACGTACATATTATTGACAATTCCAACGCTTGGCATCCGCAATAGATTCTCCGGTAACAAATGAATTTCTTTCATTATATTCGCCAAACGCACGGGTAGCTCTTTTCTTAAGAATATGAACGACTTTCTTTCGCATGCACTGAGTCCTGCAAAAAACCAAATTCACTTAGTAAGTCTGTGAATAGAAAAAGGGAAAATATATTTTGTTGAAAAATCAAATTTTGTTAGAAGTTAGCTTAATTGCGCACATTAAATGAATTTTCATCGTAAAATAACATGGCAATTTTTATATCGCGAGTACGTGAAAAAATGTATTCGTTACGTGACAAAATTGTTCTTGAAAAATTCAATAATCGTTTTAAAAGTGAAATAATAATAAAAACAATATTTTTCAGTATTTTTTCATAACACACGACGGCGCATGAGAAAATTGTTCTGCGAGTTAAAAAGTTGCAATAATTTATAAGATCGTTGGGCTACAAAGTGCAAGGTCGTATCAATTCAAAAATCATGTTGAATGTAATAAAGCAATTCAATGGTTGTGCAGGGAAAAAGATGGAACGCGATGGGTGATAAATCGCTCATTCCGGAAACACTAGATGATATTAAAAATGTCAAAGTACATTGAAGTTACGTAAGCTAGTTTGAAATAAATGACCAAGTAGGTACGTGCGAATGCGGCTAAAGACAAAGCAAGTTTCGTAACGCAATAAGCTAGCCGCGAAGGCGAATTGCGAACCGCACTCGTGTTTGCCCTTGGCCATTCATTTTTCTCGCAAATGAGAATTACAAATGAAGTAAAATTCTCAACAAGTTGCAGTTTTGGAGCTATGTAATAGAGGCTTAGAAATGCTCGGGCCTGTAAGGCAGAGTCGGACAACGAAGCAACAAAGGCGTTTAATGTCGCTTTATGTGCGTGTACACCGACTGGGCAGCTCAGCTTGCTCCTCCGTGTGTTGCAAACGTGACTCCAGTAGGTCATCGCTTCGAGTCATGCTATACAACGAATGTGATGTAGGCGCGTGATCGTGTCCACATCCGACGCGCGGCTCTTCGTTATCATCCGACGTGCAGGCCATAGCCATTCACGATTGTCAGGCGAACGCGTACACACGGGTACACACGGATGCCGATAGAAAATATTTAGTTGGTCGAGCGTGAAATGAAGTCGAGGAGAGATTCAACGATCGGAGCGATGAGAGCTACACATCTGCACGACAAGGACTTTATCAGCGAAAGACTTTACGACTCAACGCCTTTTTCAATTTGTATACCACGTGACAAGTCCACGCGCGAATTGCTCGCGCATTTTCTCATTGTTTGATTCATCATTATCGAGCCGCGCATGAAAATAACGAGTAGCTGCACTATGTATAGAGATGACGAAGCGCAAAATTACACATTAACAAAAGCAATCTTACACAACGACCTTCAAAACATTGATCGAATTTTTTTCAGACATTTTAAAGCCAAGTGTGCGCCTATTGGAAAAACACATACTTTCGAAGAATCAATTTTTATGTACACGAGGGTAAGATATAAATGATAACAACAGGAAGCTATCGAACGATACATTTATTATGTTCATAAGCTTTGGCCAAAATTGAACAAGTGTAACCGCACGTATATTTATGAACTTCTATGCGGTGGGGCTTCAAAAAGTTTTTAATTTTGAATCTCAACAATATTTACAAGATGCTTATTTATATTTATAACTGCAAATGTAACGACTGGAGTGACTTTGAAATAATAATCAGTTGGGCTCGAATATTTTCAAGAGCAAAATTAAGATTCACAAGATGCAATTTGATCTATGAAAGGTACAAGTGTCTCCTACTCTCAATCAAGTCCGAATGTAGACTTAAAATTACATTTTTTTTCTTTTATTTCGTTTTTCAAGCATCGATCGAGACATTATATTATGCAAGTAAGGGATATAGGAATATTCATCAAACATGTCAAGATTTTAACTTATTTCATGATGACGTTGAAAAACTTTTAATTATTAAATTAATTTAAAAGTATATTCATTGAAAACATAAACAAATTTAATGAAAATAAAGTTTTTTAAATGTCGATGATCTTTTTACACAGCAAAATAACATATCGAATAAGTTATCAGTTTGTGGACAACAAACCGAGGTCATTCACGTTCCGATTGTTGAGTAAACTTTCTCTTGAATAAGCCAAATGGATGACTTGTGCATTTTAACAATCGCTTAAAAACAATGACTAGCCTATAAATAATTAATGTATTAGATTATAATTTCATCAAAAAAGTATAAATGTTAAAAATAGCAAATGAAACGAAGATTTGTTCCAGCGGAGAACAAAAATTGTGGAAAAATATTATTTTGACCGATCGTACAAGAGAGTACGAGCTATATAAAACGATCAAAACAGAAAGTAAAGATCGAGAAAGAGCGAGAGATAAACTTGTTTGTGTTGTGATGGAATTCTGAGCCAATAACGATACGAGGGTCCGTGGGCTCGTCATCGTCTCGGGACACGGTGATTGGCCCGCAGGAGAACCGCGCCTCCGCTCGGCGGCTTCGCAGCTCGCTCACGCTTAGCTGGCCGGTGTGCGCTTAAAATTTCGAGTAAATGCGCAGCAGACGGCTGCGCATATGGAGCGCGTGGACGTGCAAACTGCGAAGGCCTCCTCAGAATTCCACAATCTAATATTGTGATACGGCACTGCCACGCCGTCATGCCGAACGAGCAAAAAAAATCATCAAAACAGCCAGATTACTCAAGCTGCCCCCCAGCACGTATGCGAGCCATAAAAAACATTATGTTGCTATCTCTTCATATACATTGTGAGCCATGTCGCTTTCTAGACGATCCTTTTTAAAACATCAAGCAGACAAAAAAAATGGGAAAAAACCCAAAAATATAGCTCACTAAGGTGAAAACATTTTCAGGCCAATTGCTTTTGCGTGCCAAAATTCTTTGTTTTATAAAGCGTTGGGGGTACTCTTTGTAATTAAACGAAGTCATCATGACATCAATCATCAAAGTCTTCATTGTTGTTTCGCAAGATTAATTTCATTATTGACAAAATTTTTTGTTAAATGATGTTCTTTTTTTGAATTGACACATATTTCGTAATACACATATGGAAGATCATGAACGTCTTAGAAAGTGGGTCTCCAGAAATTTTGAATTCAAGCCAAAAATCGTTTTTAGAAATTTTCGAAAATTCGGGCAGGACAAAAAAGTATTTAATAATCGCAGCAATATTGGAGGTTTCACACATTTTATTTGCTAACCTCAAACTTTGCCACATATAAATTTTGATTCCGGCATAATTATCGCAACTCGCTGTCTGTTGTCAATTTTATGTAAACATCAATTCATTGATTTACAAACAACATTCTCATGATAAAGAATAATTTATATAAACTTGAAAAAATGTATCACTTGCAACAGATTATTTAAGTACATGTTTGAATATTAACATTTGAAGAAGATGCATTCGGTGAAAATAGTTGAAATGAATTTTTGTAGATGGTTAGAAGTTGCTGCAATTTTATACTTCATTTGGATACGAACGTTCTGCCATTATTAAATTTAACGTATCGTTGGACTGATGTAAAAGTATCGTGACAGAGACAAAAGACTTACATTGATAACTATTGCTTATTGAAAATTATTGAGAAGTATATCATAAATATAATAAATGCTCGAAAACAAAAATAAAATTATGTAAAACACAACAAGAGTAAATTTGCAAATCGTAAAAAACAGATTTTATCTATAATTCATAGCGTAGAAGCAGGAAAATACTAAATACTACAAACTGTTTTCTAGAAAAATCCTACTAATCATATGCTGATCTATTTGATAAAATATTTGAAGAATGATAATATTTGTTATACAATGGTTGCTTTTCCTGATTGATCCTATGCTTTGAAAAACGACTCAACTGGTTTTTCTAAATGGTCTGCAATTTTAGTCGTCAATGCTTAATAGTTGCAGAATAGATACCGCTAATATACTCCAGACTAAATGTAATTGCTGATTTCCGTGCTTTGTACGTGATATTCACACTTGTTTACTGCAAGTACTAGACTTTTCATTACGTAATTTCGTCGGGAAGTATATTTATGCAAACAAATGATTTTTATACTCGCTAGAGCTACGTAAAAAATCGTCTGACGCGAGAGATTTTACGAGACGCATAATAATTTACAACAGCAGGCAAAACTGCTTAGTAGAACAAAATCATTCGTTATTTTTATCTCCACAATACAGCTATATGTAAATTTTACGAGACTATCCAATCGATAATTAGGCCTCTAGTAAAATTATCAATCGATGTTCTCAGAAAAAAGTCGAAAACAAGAACACGTCTGTCGAGCGGCAAGTAATTTTAGGATCGAAAAAAAGTGCCTATGTGCTCGGTGCGAGGTTGAGAATGGAGGCAGGCGGCTGGTAGCGTTCCCTTCCTCCCAGCACCCGCCATTACATCGAAGTCTCGAGCGACTTTTCTTCAAGGACAAAATCGAATGCCTATCAACTGACAATGCGATTCGATACTTGGAACATGGACATTAGAAGTGATGCTCCAGAGTCAGCGGCATTTGAACAAACGGCCGATAAAATCATCGAAGCAAAATGTCGATTTCGAGAGGCTTATTATGAAATCATTCAAGTTTCTCGTATCTTATGCACTCGACGTCCAAACGAAAAACTCGAGCACTACTTTTTCTTATCGACGTGCAAAACTAGTATTGTGAATGGAGTAACAAGACTTTTTAATTAAACTAGTGTTACAAAAGTGACGGAGTAATTAGAATAGAATGATTCGTTGGGAGTAAAATGGAGCTTGATCGATGCGGCAACCTTGGTTCGTGTTGCATCAGATGATTGTGCGCAGTCGTGCCTAAAGATGCAGAGAAAAATCAACGATGCGGCCTACAATGCACGTGGAAAAACAAAAGCTCGTTGGCAAACATACTACAACGGGATGAGACACGTGATTAAACGTTATAAAATCAGAGTCGCCGCGCGAAGTTGCTATGCACATAATTATCGACGCGTCGCAGCTTTCTAGAATCGATGAGGAGCCGCTGCTTACACGCGCTGTTATAGACCAGCTGAGGATATAGCCAGGCAGAAAAGTACCGGCGCAAGCGGTGGACTGTGTGTGTGCTAAATGGAAGCTTCGGGGCTCAGGGGCTAGAGTCTATATAATCGATTGGCGGCTGCGGCTAGTCAGCGACGGCAGCGAGTCACCATTGATGCACCTGACTTTGTCAATTCATTATTATGCTACTTACTTTGTCGCGGCGGTGCGTCCGATCAACAAGTTTATCAAAATATTTATACTCTTGTGCGTAAGTACAATGACGCGCGCGACTAAAATTACCCGAATTTCGGTTATTTCAAAAATAAAAGTCAAGATGTTAACGTGCATGTTAATCAAGCGTATATATATACGGACGCGCCGAGTCGAAATGCAAATACGCGCGCGCGGTGCAATAATTCAAGGTCACCGAGGCCGACCGAGCAAACGATTGGCTCGACCTGCATCGAGTCGTGCTGCTCGCATCATCGACCAGCAAATAAAAAGGTATAATCAACGACGGAAACGATGGAGCTAGACAGAAAGGTAGCACAAACCCGTAGTCGCTCGATCGTATCAAGCAGTTAGACGCGGGACGAGAGAATTAGAGCTCGTTGCCTCGCTTGTTGTGCGACACTAGACGTACTCTAGCGCGTCCGGCTAATCATGGCAATAACGAGCTCCGACGTTATCTCGTTTTTTCCAGTCGATCACTGACAGCACGAGAAAAGAGAAATATATATTCGCGAGGTGCGACTTTCACGTCCGGGCTCGTGCGTGCAGAGGCCCGACCGTACGAGTTTGGCAGTGCGGAACAACGCACGATGGTTGCGGAAAATGCGTGAGCGCAGTAAGCGTGGTGCAATTTGATTTCTTGGAGATAGGCTCGAGACTCGCGCGTCGATCGGCGAACGCGAACAAGTGCGCGTCAGCTGTGTAGCTAGGCCAGCCAGGCGTTATTGAGCTGAGGGCAAACTCACCAAAATCGATGAACTGCTTGATCGACAAGGGCGACGGATTGAACTGCGAGTAAAAGTCGAGCATCTTGCCGATATTGCTGAAGCAAACGCGCGTGAACTTCATCGTGGCGGAGGCTGCTTAGCTTCGCCAACTGTCAACTGCTTGAATGGGTCGAGCCAGGAATCGAGTTGTCAAGAGACAAGCTGCATGTCGTGCCTAGACGGCACAGCTGCTGACTCGAGTTCGTCGTTCCGATTAACTGGACGTTCTTGCCCTGTCGCGGAGCTTCCAAGATTGCAGCCCTTGCGCTTAGGTTAGGCTCGTTGTCGTCAGGCAGGTAATATGCCAGGAGAGACCGACAGCACCTGTGCTGCAGTCATAGAAGCGGGGCAAAGCTGCCTGCTCGAGCTCGTCGATCGTCGTGGCTCGTCCAGTTCACGAGAAGCAGTGGCTTTGTCGACGATGACGGTGCCTCATGACGAGGCTCGCGAGATTTTCACGCTCTGCGGAGGGCCTGAACTTCGCTGACAGCCGACGACAGTCGTCGACACGGCTAGCCGGACCCCTGACGAGTTGTCCAGCACCGCTACCGAGCTTTACGATGATTTTCCAAGCCGTGGCGAAGCGCGAAAGCACGACACAGAACCGCGACTGCAGCGATGACGAGATGACTACTGACGCGACTCGGTGAGCTACGCTCCGACTCGGCTCGCTAACGTATAAACACAGACACGCACGCACACACACACGCAGTGCAAAAGTCGCGAGAGACTGGCACGTACACACGCGCGGCCCGAGCCGTGTTATATAGCTAAAAACTATATAGACGGTGCATAGGCGCAGTAGACGATGGACGCAGGCAGACTTTGCAAATGCGCCCTCGCTCGCGCGGGACGCGACTGCACTGTAGCACAAGTATCGTGCGAGGATACGCGTAACGCGAGAGAGCCGGTATAGCAGCGCGAGAGCAAAAAAGACAGCGCGCATAGGGTTATCGACTCGCTTATGATATTCTATATTCGGCTGATGTACTCTCGTGCAGAATCGCGAGTCGTGCTCGGCTAGCGCAAAGCACATACGGATTCGCGCGACTCCGTTTCATCCCCTCCCCGCTGAGGCCGCCACATCCCGCAGCCAAGCCAGCGGTAGCAGCAGTGCCGTAATATAACTGCCTTTTTCGCTGTGCCGTGTGCGTGCGTCATGTGTCGGCATTCTCCGCAGTCCACTCGGGCCAAGGAGGGCCGAGCCTCGTCTCTGTGTGCGACGCACACGCTTGCAACTCGTTGCTCAACAGAGGCCTGAGCTCAACATGTAATACGGCGCTCGCTCCTCTCTCTCGGCTCTGTATCTCAATTTCGTGACGTGTGCAAAAGCACACACCGATACCCGATCCGCGTATCACAAGTTGAGACAACGACGCACTCGTGTACTAAAAGTGCTGCAAGCGTATCTGCGTGCAGACGACCGATACCGACGAGATTTCATTTGGCCACCGGTGGCGCTTGTTGTTGGATTTCGCGCGAAAGCCCCAAACTGCGCGCCTTTTCAATATGACTAGCCTTATTCCTGAACAAGCTCAGATATTTGAAACATTTGTTATCAAAGCATTTTAATTTGTATCGGAATCATTCATATATTCATTAATTTATTCATCTTGAAATAAATGTGTAAACGAATTCCGTCCATTTGTATAGTGACAATTCACTTATATCAATATCTAAAAGTTTATATATAACTACAATTTTATCACAATTTAAATTTCTTGGTTCAATGCAAAATTGAATTTTTCCACGCTTTTTTCACTAGTGCGCATGCATGATTTTACATTACCTGCATGCTACTCGGTAAAACAGAGCGGTAGATAATGTATTTGGGATATAACACGTCAACCGTGATAATCCAAGCAAGTTCCAAGCATTGAATCAAAATCCAAGCATTGAAACAAATTATGTACTCTTGAAGAGTACACTGAAAAATGAAAATCCTGAAATTTTATCTTTCAAATTTTTTTTTGATTTCCTAGGGTGATTATGAAAAAATTGTTGAAACATAATCATTGATGTAAAATTTGATGAGGAATTCAGATTTGTTGTCAAAAGTCATCAAAATTTAACTTTTAATAAAGTTTGGTGGTGGTTCAAACATTAGAAATCATTTAAGAGCACATTACAGGTCAAAAAACATGGTTTTTCTTTCATTTCCCTTGTTCTTTTACCTTTAATGTGCTCTTAAATGATTTCTGCTGTTTCAACCATCATCAACCTTTATTAAAAGTTATTTTGATGAATTGATAAATATATTACAATTTTGGCATAATCGCTAAAGGTGAATTGCACATTTATTTTTTACTTTTATGCTATTTTATCTTTTTGATGGAGCAAAACTTATAAATATGATTTTTGACAACAAATCTGAATTCCTTGTCTAATTTCACATCAAACCTTATGTTTCAACAATTTTTTCATATTCACCCTAGGAAATCAAAATATAATTTTAAAAATCAAATTCCAACTTTGAGATTTGGTAGATCCATGAGAGACAGACCTAGAAGGCTGAAATTTTCAGGATTTTTACTTTTCCATGTACTTTACAAGAGTAAATACTTTGATATGACCCATATGTACTTATGTAGATATTTATAAATGAAAGTAAAATGTATACTTAGGTATGTTTAATGTGTAAGGTATTTGATAAAGGGAGGAAATATGTACAAGAAGATTAGTGATAAAATGACTTCTTAACGTAGTGAAATTTTTTAAAAAATGTGTATTTTCATTTCTTCATTACAAATCATTGTTATTTATAGCATGTAGTACATGAAACTAGTTGATAGTGTTTCTTAGTACATGTGATAATGATGAAAAAAGTGTTTAATAGCTTAAGTCAATACTCTTGAAGGACTAACACTATCAGTGAAATGAGTGGAGTAAAGTTTTAATGAATAATTCTTTCTCATACTTTAACTCCATTTTCTGGACACTTGAAATTTCATTAATTTTTGTGTGCTTATTGTAACTTTGAAGTTGAACCGATAACTTGTTCAAGACCCAAATAGGCTCATTTTGTTTGTTGAAAGTGTGGCTATGGTATCTATCTCAAAAAAAGTGATAGCATCATAAAAAGGCTTTATGTGACTATAATTGTGGAAATATTCAAATAATGTGAAACTAAGTAGTATAATAATTTTAGTTTTATGTGAATATTATGGTTCTATCTTAATGGATGGCTTTACTAGAGGTAGCGATCATTGTAGCGATTCTTGTATATTTAGTGACACTTTTCCAGTATCTAGGGGTAGAAATATTTTGTTTAAGGGTTAGTAAGAAGCCTCAGATTTGACAAATCTGAATTTTTGTTTTAGGTTTATTTTTTTTAATATAAAATAAAAAGGATTTTAAGGTGTACGTGTCCCCTTAATACGTTATAAGAAGATTCTTCAATATAATCAGCTCAAGAAGCAAGAGTCAAAAAGCTTCAAGTATAAGTATTTTCCATAAATTTGAATTTGGTGCCTGCAGAGTAGTGGAATCTGTGAAACGTGTATAAGCATAGGAATTTCGGCGTTCCAGCAGACAGAAATAAATTGGGACAAAATATATCCGCGGGAAAGCGCACGATTCAAAAATTGTAAAAATAAATGTATGAAAAATGTTATGGAATAATTTTTATTCTTTTTTATAAATAATGAAAAATGATGTAAATAAATTTTTCAATATAAAATCAATATAATTTTAATATTAACCTATTAGTTAATATCATTATAATTTAAATATTATTAAATGAAATCAATATAATTTAAATATTATATTAACATAATAAAATATCAACTGCTAAATTATTGTTATACAAAGTACAGCGCATGTATGTTCCCAATCTATCTTTCCATGAGAACTTAGGCAGATGAGTACATTAATAACTAAATAATAACGATTTTATAATAAAAAATCGATTGATATTATTTCTCAAGATATATGGTCGTCATATATCACGTGTATAAAAAGTGAAAAAAATTATTTCATTAAAATTTTTACATATTAATTTTAACAATTTTAAATTGCGCGCCTTCGGCGAGTGTCACTTTGACTCTGAAGTCGTGACTCGTGACTCGCATACACCGATATTACAGAAATTCATCTGCTGCTCATGCGTTGAAAGCTGAAAGATCATCGAAGAAGCAAGACTTCCGGTGTTTGACCGAAGCCTCCTCCACACGGCGCAACTCGTAATATCGTATAAGGCGAGCCCACCATATCGCACCATGTGTCTCAACTGAACTAAAAAGGCTTACATTAATCGTCGCAGCATTTGAGTGAGAACGAGTGAGCTGCACGCCTAACCAATTCGGGTTATTACCACGAGGAGCTTCTGTGCGAGAGTATACTGAACACGCATCTGCATTAGGTGCCAGATAAATCGTGTACACGCTTGCTCAATAACTTTCGAGCCTCGTGTCGTGTTGTATGCTGCTTTTAGCCAGCTGCACCAGTCCATTTCCGACCACAGAGAGAGACAGAGCTCCGAGTCCCGGCGACGCTCGACTACACCGGCCGTGCATGTGTTGTACTCTGTGTGCGTGTAACATTTAGTGCATTTTTCACATACCTTGGGCCATTTGTTCCATACTCACCAGCAAGCATGGCAGATCTTGATGATTTCTTTGCTAAGAAGGATAAAAAGAAGGCGAAAGGTAAAAAGTTTACCACTACAGAGGAGATAGCCAAGAAACTCGAAGAAACTGGAAAAAAAATTGAAAAGCCCAAACTCAAAGAAAAGCCGATCAATCCAGAAAGTGGTGAAGATAATCAACAGATTGAGGTAAGCGTTGATATGATTCATTTATATCGGCTTAATTGTCAGTTCTTTTAATTTTTTGGCCACCGCCATACTTCTAAACGTCATACTATGTTTTTTTTTCCCGCTTAGTTCTTGATCTACGATAATTTCACTTTTCACTCTCTACATAGTTCATTTTGATACTCCTAATATTTTCTCTTGAATAACCCTGATTCTCTTTTTACATTGTTTTGAAAAGAGGTCTTGTTTTCGTGTTATGTAATGCAATCTATCTGAATCATTTGCATTAAGGAATGCAGAGCCTAAGAATTTAACAGCAGCTGTTACTATGATCTAACCTTCTGCATAATTTTGTTTTCATCTTGATATTTCAATACTAAGTATTTAATGTTCTTTATATTACAGGAAGAGGACGAGTGGAAAGAATTTGAAGAAGAAAAGAAAGATTATACGGGCCTGAAGATTGGTAATCTAACCGTAACTGAAGGTCCTGATGATGATGGAGATAACGATAAAGGAACAGGTAACAATAGTTCTGATGCAGAATCTGGAGAACCTGGATCCAAACATTCTGGACCATGGAAGAAAACTGATGCTCCACCAGAAGCTGTACAAGAAGTAGTACAAGCTCCAGCTCCACCAAAACCAGCCGCTAAAACTGTTGGTAGTTACAAACCACCTGCATTTAGAAATTCTCAACAAACGATTGATCGTCCTGTAATTCGCCCTGGAAGAGGACGAAATGTCGCTCCTGACATTAACAGTGAAGAATATTTCCCAACCTTAAACTCAAAGCAACCAACTGCCAATGATTCAGGTGCATGGGGAAGAAAGTAAGTTGATATATTTTTTAATTTTATATATCAAATATGTATTTATTAAATTTATGAAAAACTCATTAACTAATTATTTTCATAGAAAACGCGATGAGGGATCATTTGAAGAGGTTAAAGTTCGTGGCGCAGGAAGAACTTATAATGCTGCAGAGGTTCAATCACAAGCTCCAAAATTATCACTTGGAAACAAGTATGGAGCGCTGCCAGAGGATCAAAGCTGAAAACTACATATTTTTTGATTGAAAAAGACCTTTACGTTACCGCCTTGCTCTGTTTCGTGGCTCAGTTATGCCATCAAGCAAATTTTATAGGTTATTATTGCATCTGTCTGCATATTGATTCATTTTTCTAATTCAAATGTCTGATTGTCTGGTTTCTGATTGTCTCTACTACCGATGATTTTTCAAGCTTCCAAATTCAGCACAAAACTTATGATACAGCATTATATTGTAGATGAAATCTACCTCATAAATATTTTCGTATATAATTAATCTAAAGACTTGACTCTAATAATTATTAAGCTTGAGAATAATGCAAAAAGCAAAGTAGCTGAAATAGTCTAAATAGGTAAAATAATATCTTTATAATAATAATTCTTAGAGAATGATCACAATCCGAGGCTGGGCTTCGGAACTGCAATATCAACATAATCAATGTGCAAGTCGGAACAAAGGTTTGAATATGTAAATTTGTATTGAATAAATAAAAAAACTGGATATCGACGAAAAATGAGGACGATATTACGAAGGTAAACGTGTTTATGCTTTTTGTTGATAATTGTTTAGTTATGTTTTATAAGTTAGTAATTCTTTTAATATTGTGAAAAACTAGATTTAAACTACGAACTGAATTAGATCAATGTTAGATTGATTAAGACAATTTAAAGACAGAATTTAATTTTTATTCTTTGAAAAAAATCTTAAAGGCGCCGAGAAGATGAAAGTTTCTGACTTAAGAAATCATGTGAATTTTTGTACAGCTTAGCTTTTGAAAATCGTGATTATTTATTATGAATACATTTATAGGAAGCATTTACACGAACTGCCTGAAATGCACTTTGACTGTGTAAAACGTTTTATGGGATGCCTCATTACAGTCTGGTGAACCATATAGAATCAAATGAATACAATAAAATAGGAATAAGTAATATGTTCATCACGTTGAATGTACCACCTGCAATTTTTATAATACTAATAAATTCATTGTTTTTTAGGCAATGTAAGCTCATACATTCATCTTGATGATTTGAAATTTACCTATTTCATTTTTAATTTTGTATTGCAACTCATATTGATAGAACATCGCCCAGTACAGAAAAGTCATCGTACATGACTTTTTTTTATCATTTAGTGCATTTATTGGGTATATAATTCTCAATGAGTGTTTTAGAGAAATTTTTTTACTTCTCTCAAGCTGTTATTATAGTCTGTAATGTATTTCTACTGTAGCTCAGAACATTGTTAATTTGAGAAATCAGATGATATTGTGCAAACTCAAATAATCAAACAAAAATTTGAGACTATTTATAGAGAAAATGAGTGTTTTTTTACAGTACAGTGTGCAAACTTCATAATTTTAGCGCCGATAAAGTTGCCGAGAAGAGGTGTAAAACAAAATGAATTAATGAACTTTGTTAAAGCGTATATTGATGAAAGTCGTATTGTTAATCGCTAATAATAATTGCGGATACAATTTAAGACTCTAATAAACATGTGTAAAAATAATTATTCTTTTTATTGACCAACTATATAAAATATATAATAAACTTTGAAATATTTTACACTGTTCGAAAAATGAGAATTGTAAAAGTTCGATATTCATAGAACATCTTCGGGTTTGGCATAGTCCGCTTCGCTGAAATTCAATTTTCAGCGCGATTATTCGAATTCAACACTTCATTTCGATGGTTGAATGAACAATCTCGCAAATACCTTTCAATGTATTTGAGACCGTGGCTCCCCTCGTTGCTGTAACTTGATAACATGGGTAACTCCAAAAGTGACTCTCTAAAGTTCGGAAGCAGATAAATCCAAGCTTTCGTCGACTCGCCGATCTGTAATAAACAATATAATAAGTTAACCAATTCAATTGCTGTGAGGACCGAGAATGCCAATTTTTAAACATACCGATTCAAAGTTGGCTCCGTTTGTAATGTCCTTTTCTGGCGCAAGTAATATGTCCTCTTCCATGCGAATATAAAAGTCTGGGTGTTCTTCTAATTTATCGAGTTCCTTAAGCATTTTTGAATCGACGTCGTAAACTTCTCCAAATATATTCTGCAAATAAATAATTAATACCACATGATATAAGAGTATACATATGAAAAACTCGAGTATAATCGTAGTAAATCATTGAGATAAGTCACGATGTATCGGATCAGAATCGATACGAGTTCGGTACGGTTTGGCTCGTTGATAAATTTGGATATACAACTAACGTGTCCAGTTCCTGGCCTCTTGAGCAAAAAGGGAATATTATATTTCGTGGCGATGACCAGAGGAAAAGCCAAGATCGTCTTGCCCAAACCCATGAATTTGGCGTAGCCATTCTCCGCGTTGCTGATGAGATGATGATTGGGTTCGTTGCGCTTGAGGGTTCCGTAAACAAATACCCGCTGCAGAGGACTTTTAAAGAGATTTTCGTACATACTTGAATGTCCGATCGAATGGCAAGTAAGAAATTTCAAGTCAGAGATGTGCAGCGAAATATGCACGCGTTGAAAGTCTGGCGCCGAGTTGCGAACAGCAAGTAGGAGGTGGAATTTGGATTTTTGAATCGGTGCAGCAGCGCTACTGCGGTCGCTTCTAGCTTGGCCGAGGCGAGCTGCGCTGCTTATTCCGTTTAGCTCGTATTATCACTGCCGCGCCAACGAGCGAATAATTGTTATAATCGCTGCGAGCTATCTGCGAGTAAGCTTTCGAAACTTTCGTACCTAGGGCCGATCGTCGAAGTCAGCCCGGGCGAATTTCGATCGCGAGTCGCGAATCTTGATCGAAGCACAACAATCGCGTCGAGATATGGTCTTTAAGCAGGCAGAAATTGAGATAGCTGACAGCCGCCGCTTCGGCTTCGTTACTCGAGCTCAATTGCTGCGACACGATTGTAATCACGTGCACTGCCAGCCAATCGAGACTCTGCGTGTTGCCGTTCTTCGTCAATAGAGGCCGCATTACTCTATTCACGCGCCACAGTAAAATTACAGATCGGTGCAATCCTCAGGTGTGTGAATAATACCGAAGCAACAAAATGATTCGCACTGGCTATATTTATCCATCACTGCTTGTAGTTTCATCCAGCGAAAATTATCCTCCTTGTTATTTTTAATCATTTTCGTTGTCATCAATTACAGCCTGATTAAAAGCAATTCTGTAAATATGACGTCTGAACACATTTTGAGTTACATTTTTTATATCAATTTTTTAATTCGTTTCGATTAGCTTATTTACTTGAAACTCAGTTCATTTAATGATTTTAATTAATTTGTTATTCTAAAATATAAAGATACCAGCACTCGGCCCGCTGAGAAATTATCATTTTGTATCCGGACAGTCTCTTGCATGAATTAATTAAATCATTCTTCTATTTGACAATTGAAGCTTAAAAAGTTCCCTATCGCGTTTACGAACAATTTTGTTTTTAAATTGTTCCAACACCGTAGAATTAAGTTGAAATCTAATTATTTTGAAAACAATTTTTTTCTATGTTAAAAACTTGCAAGTACTGTTACATTTACGCATAGGGTAAACCAGCTAGTACTCGACCACTTGAGAAATCATCATTTTCTGATAATTTTCAATAAAATAATTCGATTCGTCTCATAAACAAAGAAAATTTGTAGAAAACACTTATGTTTATCAGAATTCACGAAAAAAGATTCCATAAATAAAACTTTAAACGTCGAAAAGCTATGTTAAAAAGTGAGTATTAGCCTTATCAAAAAATCCGATTTCTAGTACCTGACCACATTTCAATACGGTATGTTTTAATTATTTTTCTTACATCAATTTTTTTGACACAATAAATGCAATAATTTGATAGTAAGGGACTAAATACACGGCAATTTAATAATTTACAATTAAATCTAAAGGTCCTGTGACTCGAATAAAAGTGGTCGGATACTAGCAGGTTTACCCTATAATATTTAAATATAATCTTTTTTTTAATATTAAAAAATGGAAAACAGGGTTGCTCAAAAAGTTTTAAAAATGTCAGGGTTTTGTGACGGAATAAGTACTGCGATGCGTACAAAAATAAATACTGCGATCTTAATTTCTCAGGATCTGAATTACAAGTGTTACAAAAATGTTATACGTAGATATGTGCTTAAAAGTAAAAAAGGAGTACTTGAAAATTGAATGATCAACTCAGTTCATGGTACTTATTCTTGTGAAGAATTTGTTTCTTTAGAGAATCTTTATATATCTTTATTACTTTGTGAGGAACCCTAATCATAGTGAGAAAATGACGAAGTGTTGCGAATGAGCTTTTGTTTGAGGTATTGGATTTCAGTGAGGTTTTCAGGGTAAATACAGAAGTAAAAATTTTTGTTACTTTTTTCCCCCTTTAAACGATATCGATCAAGTACTATAGGGGGTGGTAAGGTACTGGGACATATGCTTTATACAGAATATCAAATGATAATGTATAGTTTGAGCTTATAAAAAAGAAAAATAATACCAAGTTTCGATGCTTAAGCTCGTAAAATGAGTAATTTTAAAGTGAAAAAAAAAAGAAATATTTTGGGGATCATGATGATAAATCGAGAGAGGGTCGTGGGCTTTTGGCAAACTTTTCCTTCGCTCTTTTCCCAAATGAAGATTGTTTTGGTAAAATAGGGGGAAACGTAGAGTTGGGAAGGTCGCGAGCTCAGGCAAAAGTGCTGCTCGGAGCTCACGCAGGCCAAAATGCGAGTATAGTGGCTGTCTCGAGCGAGTCACGTACGAGAGAAGCCGAGGGTATATAATATAGCTGCGTGTAGGCGACTCGAGTATAAGCAGCAGCAGCAGCAGCAGCAGCGACGGCGGCGCGCAGCAGACAAGTAAGCGAGAGCGAATAAGCGTATCGTGTGACTCGCTCGCGTACATAAAACATACAAACACATACATACATACATGCATGCACAGAGGTAGAGACGGAGAAAAAGAGCAAAATATAGCACGACGAGCAGAGGACGGTGGCCGTGGCTGCAGCGACTAGCGAGTCGCCGGCTGTGCGGCGCGCGGCGAGCGTAGCGGCTCCACTCCACCGCCGCGCCAAGTTGCGCTACGAGCTCTCGAGGAGCCCCAAAGGCCAGTCTGCGACACACAAGCGAGCAGTGCAAATCCGACGGTCGACGCCAGTTCTTCTCCGTTTCCCACACGCAACTGTTATTATATAGCTCGCGCGAATCATTGTTGCTGCTGCGGCTGTCATCCGCACGGCGAATCGTGCTTTTCGCTGCGAGCGCGGCTCGATCAGTCGATCGATCGATCGATTCCAGACCGAGGAGAGCTGCCTGGGAGCCGACCATGTCGAGGATCCCCCTTGCTCCTTGGCGCAACGCACAGTACCTCCCGCTGCAGCTCGTTTCATCGGTACGTCTTTTCCTTTTCATTCGTCGCGTAGATATCGCCTAAGTAATCGCAGCTTTTTATTCGTCGCAGTTTTTTCCTACGCAAACGCTCGCGAGTGCGAAAACAACTCGGCGAGTTGCAGCTCCGATATCGCCGCGTTATTGCCCGATAGGTTGCGCGCAGCCTCGAGCCACTTGGATCAATTTGGCAGCTGTCAATTAGTGTGTCCGTTGATCGAGCACTCGACTATACGCGTGTGTGCTCGTTATAATAATAGGTGCGCGCAAGACGTCGTCGCGCTGCAACAGTTTGCCGAGAACGAGACGTACACGCGTTTGGCAGCGCGCAATTGCAGCCGATCGCGATTTGGCGCTCGCTCGCTCCGTCTAAATAATTACAAACGACTCGATCGCTTTCGAGATCTATAATCGACTGACAACGAGACGACTAGCTATCGGTATTTAGCGCTTGTATCGAGGGCCCATCGGTATCGGCGCACTCGAGCTCGCTCGGATTCGCGGATTCCAGATCGATCCGTGGACCAGCGAGCCGCGCGAATCTAGTCTCGACGACTCTGGCTTCGGTCGGTCTTTCGAGACCTTGCCGCTTTGCTTGCATTCTATAAATACAGAGTTAGGGCAGGCGATTCGCTCGACCATCTGCTCGTACTCGCGTCGGTGGCTGCCCATAGTAATGCGCCAACATCGAACGATCGAATCTAGCGCTCGACCAACCGTTCCTACGCCAAAATTTGTTCTAGCTCCAAGCTATACGATAAGTTTATTTTATTTTACTCATTTCGTCCGTTCTGCTACTCCGAAAAAGGACTCAGAGAAGCAAAGGAGGGCTCGTGCGCTCGCACAGGCCGGCCCTTGGAAAAACTCGATACTTACTTGCACGCGCCTTGCCGAGCGAATAAGAAGAACTCGAGCAATGCATGAGGTTCGCCGCAGGGACGTGCTTCCCTCGCTACTGCTTTGTTTCCTCGCTTACTCGAGCCGGCCGAGCTCGAGGCGTCCACTGAAAATATTCAATTATTCCGAATCGTGAATTTTAGCATATCATAGAATGCATGCATTCGCCACTATGTAAACAGTTGCTCCGGAAGTAAGCCGTCTCTATCGCAGCTCGTTCTTCCTCTTGCGTAGCGTGTCCTTTTGCCGACAACTCGAACGTGCCGTGCATTTTGAGGGTATGCGTGGGTGTGCTTCTCGCTTCTCCAACTGATTCTCATCCGCGGACTCTTCCGATCTTCTAGTAATTGTCAAGGAGGAAAAACGAGCTATTCTACGATTACAGAATGTATAGCAGAGTTGGCTCATTTTCGTATACCCAAGTGTGTCTCAGCTATCGATGCGCAGAGACTATCTGCTCGCAGCTTACCATATACGAAGCTATATACGAAAAAGGGACTCGATGCTTTCGTGTCGATTGAATCGTGACGTTTGCGAGCCGCGCCTCGCCCGAACTTTGTCGATAATATGACGGAGCTCGGTACCTCATCACGACGTCGTCGACGACAACGACGACGATCACCTCCGTAACTGTTGTTCTCTTTTTGTATTCCGCTTCGCGTGCGCCAGCTGCACTCCTTTGTACACACAAACGATCCTATTATAAAAATCCATTGGCTGTATTATACATGCATCGCGTAATGTGTACGCTGCGCACATAACACAAACAAACGCGCATATATACAGACACACATTCGCGTTATTGATGTAGCAGTGACGTCGTTTCTCTTTCGCGCGCTTCTACTACCAAAGCAGTCGTGTCAATGACTTCTCACCTTTCTCATATATATATACATGTGTATGTACACAAACGCACACGTTCGTGTGTGCAGTGATAGGTATATTTCATAAGATAGGTTTACTTCAGCAAGCAAGTCAAAATTATGTTCACTAACTAAGCTTGCAATATGTGCCATTTGCTATTCTCTGCTAATTGATGCGGATTATTTTTTAATTCTCAAACACGTGTAAATCTCAAACAGTCAAGCGACATCAATGTTGTATACATAAGCTTAGACAACAAAGCACGCCACGAATACTCCATAATTTTTCTTACGCTGTCTAAGCTAGATAATGGACTTGAGCGTGGAAATCACTATTTTTAGTAAATCCGTTAGCCATGTACAATGTGTATTTATTAGTTTATGCTCGGATAGAACTGAAATACGTATTTATATGCAGAAATGTAAAGTGCTACCCTACTTGATTTCCCTTGCTTCTTTGCTTGAAATTTCGTTCGCACGAGCACCGCATCAGCTATTTCTGTCTGCGTATAAAAGCTCGTCTGTATGCGTGCGTGTGTACGTGCGTGTGCCTGTGTATATATATAGCGATTATGGTAAAGGGAAAAAACGAAAATATACAGCGAGTAAAATATGAGAATTCATGGTGCGTTTATACGTACGGGTAAAGCAAACGTGACGCAATATTTGCCTCTGGTAGTTTGTTGCTTCTTCCATTGTTGATAAATAAATCGTCGAAAGAAAAAAGGTAGTTGGTCGCGGGTAAATGAATCTAGCTTAGGTCGGGCAGAAGTAGTTAAAAGTCGAGAGGCAGAGTCGATGAGCTAAATTGCAGGCTGCGCTCGATCCACGGACTCTTGTCCGCTCCGGCAGCGAGCTGGAAAGAAATCGGTAAGATGGATCGATCGAGTGGGCGGCCAGGCAGACTCGGAACTGCAGTTATGAGCACGCGTGTAATCGAAAAGCTATTTCGATCGCGCAGCCATAGCTTCATCGGAGCTTATCGGCGATTCTCGGAATGGCTATTCGCCTTCGAGGTCGGCGCACGTACACACACACACACACACACACACGCCTCGGAAACCTAATTGGAATCGGCCGCGCGAGCTCGCGTGTGCGTAATTCGTCCGTTCGGCCCAGCAACGTAGTACAGCGGCTGCGGCTAGCTATCTCCTCGCGAGGAGCAGAAGAATACCTAGTGCTGCGCACTTGCGATCTTTCCTGCGGCGCATTTGCGCAGTCTTTGCCGAGCGATTTGCCTCCATGTTCCAGCCAATCCTGTACCTATATTTGCATGGTGCGATCGACCTCACGCTCGTGATTTACGCATACTATACATATCTCACTCTCTATGTGCAAATAAGAAGGCGCGACTTTTTTCTACATTTTTCTTATCGTACTTGGCTGAATGTAACGACAGTCACGTATGAGACACATGCGTCGTAGCTGCTTGTTTTAAATTCTCGGACTATTGTTGCATTGCTTCGACGCCTAAAAAGTTGGCTCTGCTTTTTTTCATTGTGAACGTCGCAAAAGCGAATTCCGCGGTAAATATTTGAGAGACGTTTCTAAAAACGAGCCGTTGAAATTTCTTTTGTCCATCGGAGAGGAAAAATATTTCTCACGTCGTTTTTGAGCTCGTAGCAGCCGAGCCGCGTATTACAATACGCATCTGCCATGTATTATAATATAAATAAGAATTGACAAATCTGCGCGTGGCAGTTCGAGCTCGAGACAATAGAAACGTGTCAAATACAGCTTCTCGTCTCCGACTGCTGGAATCTGCCGCGGAGCAAGAGAGAAATACCGCCAGAATGGGCTAGGTAAAATACCGCCTTATTATATACAGATAGCCGGGAAGATAAGCGACGCGGTGGAGCGTTTTCCGGTTTCTCTCTCGTCTGTGCGCGCAGCCTGTGCGTCCCCCGCAATTATCCCGCACCTTTTCGCCCGCAGGCCGTAGCCGAGTATCCCCCAGCTGCGCATTTTCGACCTTTTTTTCGATACGACGAAGGGACACGAGTAGCTGCAGGATAGGCTGCTCTTGCCGAGGCTATATTGCGTGGAACCTGCGGCCGCTCCTTCGAGCCACTCAGCTGCTGCACTTACTCGAGCTCGACTGCACTTATGCCTTTCTGCGATGCAGTAATAGCTACGTAATAACTTTTTTCTGCGCACTTTAATCGACCGAACGGAAATCACGATTTATTTTCCTTTTTTACCACAAACCAAGAGCCGACAAATATTCTCTAAAAATAACTAACTATTCTTCTTTCATCAGATTTTTTATTTTCGGTTTTTTTTCTGAGGGGAAAATTCATTACAATTATGTGCATTATCGGTATAAGTCACAGATCAATGAGTAACATAAATATGTTACTTAGTTTTGCAACGTTAAAAATACATTAGTTAGTCTCTTGTAGCAATAACATGGACTATTGCTCACTCGACTGTACAAAAAACTCCTCGCAAGTACCCTTATCGATTAAATAATAAGACGGCATAAAGACTCGGATGAATCTATTAAATTGTTTTTATAATCCATATTTTTGTAATTGTCATCCGCAAAAATTGTAATTTTAGAGCGTCAGAGCAACGAATCAACGTTGAGCAATGCTCGACGATCGAATAAAGATCACTCCAATAAGTAGATTAAATGAAAATGAATTTCGCAATTGCTCATTGAAATATCAATTCGAAAGTCTCGATCTGTTTCTCGTAAGCACGGTCGATGTTTTGCTACGTTGGCAGTGAAGCCATGGCTATTTTCAAGAAGCGCCGCTCCACACGGCTTCTCTTTGAATGCTCAATTAATTCTGCTGTCCGCTGCGCCGATCGGCGTCGAAAGCTCGCGATCTAATTGCTCGTAATGAAATGCCTCACGTTAATTCAATGTACAGTTACAAATTGATTTCCATAGAAAGCCCGTACTAGTAGCCCAGGCAATCGGCAATTTTTCACAGACAGAAGAAGTGGAAGTACGAGGGTGCAGGTAACTCGAGTTTGCCCTCGAGATAAAAGCGATGGAGCAATCCGTTGCCACCTGTTGTTTGTAGCTGTGCTCGAGCAGTCTCGAGGCCAGGCCGCGTCGGCTGTATTGATAAGACCCGGGCAAAGCCACCGACTATACGAGCGAGCCTCGATAATGAAAAATAGAAGGGCCAAGGGCACGACAGTCAATTTCGACGTCCGAGTCGGCCTCGTGCCTTTCATGTGAGCTCGGACAGATCTTCATAATCATAAGTTGCAAAGGCTGAGCTACTGCACTCTGGTAGCTACTTGCTGGCCGTATCCTTGACTAGCTACCAACTGATCCTCTTACAGCGTCCAACTCATTCGACGCTGCATTTAAATGCGCAGGATTAATCTTGAATTACTTATTTTTACGAACAGCTATGTGGCTCGCTCTCGGCAAGTATCTATGGGCCTATGCCGATTTTATTGAAATTCGTGCAGATTGTTGGAAGCTTAACACAGGCGGCTCCTGTTTCCGAGTCAGGCGTCCCTCGTACACGCGCGTCGACTTGTCGGACATATGGTGTGTGTATTACGTCATTCGCGAGGGGAACAATTACGCGTATCGGTCTTTAAGGCTTCACAGAGCATGGAAATTTTTTAAAATCATCGTTGAAAGCGCAGAGCTCGTGTGCGTTTATGCACCATCGGTTTATTATCAAAATTATTTTGGCCCATAGAGTACATTACTCGAATGTTTTTCATATTTTTGCATCCTAGGACGAAAATGTGAAAACCATAATCGAGCTTACATAGCTTGATCTTGAGCTCGACTCAGCGAGCAAAGCATGATCGTTTCGAGGCGTGGCACGAGCGACAAGCTCAAAGTTCAAGACGCCAAACAGAAAGGCACAATGGCTTTACTGTTTGACCCGAGTTTGATAGAAGTAGCTGATTACATACGGAGCAAATCGCTGGGCCAACAAACGTCGTGTTTGCGATGCAGCAGATGTGTCACCTTGACGCGCACTCATCCTTCTTTCTCTGCGTTTAAACAAATGCTTCGCTTGCATGCATCGCAACATTGCGTGCATCGTCTAATTAAATCTTGTTCAATCTACTACATTTAGGCTAAATGACAAGAATTGATATATTGATTTACATTACATTATTTTCGCTCACTAATGCGACAAATTTAGATTATCTCTTTCTTAGCTTGCGTTTTCAATTAAATTGATCCGATCGTTCAAAATTAATGCTCCATGTATATATTTTTATTCAACCTATGCATACTCTGATCAATCAGTTGTAATTAAAAATAAATCTCCGATGAAACATTTCTAAAATAATTTCTAATATTGCATTAATAAAATAATGTTTTCCAAGCGATGAAGTATTATATTTAAAGTAATGTAACGTTATAAATTAATGTCACTGATGTGATAATCATTTAACTGACAGAGAGCTATACATAAGCGAAAATCATCATTGCATCGGAGACTCATAATAGAAATTTCTTTTTCAGTAAAACACATCAAATGACAAAGGGCCGATAGGCGACAGAAATGAAAAATTGAAGTATCGATGAATATTTCCGATCCGGACGAGTTAAAGTAGAACAAAGCAAATAAAATGTGTTGCTTGGTAATAGTCACTGGGCGGAGCTTAGCGTGGACCCTTATTTCCATACTCGCGTTCATGTCAGTATTAGCCGCTGTCCTCACTCCAAAATGGATCATAGGTCCAGGTCGCCCCATTCAGTCAGGTAAATTAAAAAATAATAAAATCAATTCTCATTATCGCAATCGAAAAAATAATCATTTAAATTGTTTTAACAGACGACGGTTCAAAAATGTACAACCCAAGCCAAGGAATCTACAACAGATGCATATTGTTGCAAGGTCAGAAAAACCATTGCGGCGATTTCAATCAGGATGGCTTCTTTACTGATCCAGTAGTCTTCCCACCCATTTGGAAAGCTTCAATGTTCTTCATGTCATTTGGTCTTGCTATCATGGCTGCAACAGTTGCGGCTGCTCTTCTCGGATGCTATGTGCAAAGTATAGGCCGAAAAAGTATTTTTGATCTCTGCGGCGTTGCTCAAGCTATCGCAGGTAAGCATGTCTGCTAAAATTTAGCTTTGAAAACCTACAAAAAAACTTCAATCCTTCTCTATTTTTCCAGGCATCAGCTATCTCTTTGGAATGATATTATATCCAGCCGGATGGGGAGCCCCTCGAGTCAGGAAAATGTGTGGTCCTGAGGCTAATGCTTTTTACCCCGGGGACTGTACAATAGGTAATAAGATATTATCAAATATTTTCATTCATTAGATAAAAACTTTAATAAAAACTTTCTATTTTCTTCAAAGGTTATTCATTTTACTTAGCGGTATGCGGCGTTTCATTGACGTTTTTGAGTGCGATTTTGAGTAATCAAGCTGAAAAGTCAACTTCCAGTGACAAAGTGCAAGAAAAGCTTAACGAAGGCAAAAATCTTGTTTGTCTTCTTTAAAAAATTATGAAGTAAATCGTATTACTCTATGACATTTTACTTGTTTCTGATAATATTGTACCTAATATTGATAATTATGGTCTTGAATTCATAGATGAAATTCAATGTGCCATATTTTTATCTTGATTATTCGTGCAAATTGCATAAAATCATCCAAAATAGTGAGTTTTTAGTCATTATGATATGTATAACGTATAGAACGATTGAAATATGTGTATTTTTAAACTAATGTAAATCCAATTTTAAGTATTATAAGTTACCTAACAAAAAATATTGGATATAAAATTTTTTTATGACTACAATAAATTTTATTATTGAAACCTATCAATCGATATTCTTCTCATCTATTAATTTCTTACATCTAAATAAATGAAGAAATTAATACTTCTTAAGGAAGAGAAACATTAAATAAAATTTAAAAAATTACTATTGTAATACACTGTGCCTGAAACAAAGTTTTTTGCATACTTCCAATTAAAATTGGTGTCCTAAGAGTTTGGAGAAATATTTCACATACAAATCTTAATAATCTCGTGTTTAGTTTAATAAAGTTATAACAAGTTCTATTAAATATACTGTATCTATAAGCGTTGTTGATAGCAAAAAAGTAGCATTTTCGTGAAAAATTTCAGCAAACAATTACAAATATGTTCATTTAGATATTTTTTACCAAAAAAAAAGATGATATTCAGGTTTGATATTTATTAATTTTATTGCATTACTAACATTCATTTTTTAACATGATGTTTAAGGAGATATAGAAGTCAGCCAAAATATCAAAATTTCAATACAGTTTTCTGAAACTTCTGAATATTTTGCCAAAAGGCTCTATAGCGACCTTCATTTTGATGCTCTTAAGGTCGCTATAGAGCCTTTTGGAAAAATATTCAATAGAAGTTTCAGAAAACTGGATTAAAATTTTGATATTTTGGCTGGCTTATAAATCCCCTTAACTGTCCAAAATATTTGCCAATGACTTAATTTTTTTTATGAACTTTCTGCACTTAACTACAACTGACCCTTGCATTTTCAGATGTGTAGATAAATCGAATCATTGAACTCGAAAATAAAAAGTGCAACAAAGAATTTTACAAAATTCTACTGTTATATTTTGAAATGGATCTCTATCTCAGGAGAGCAAAGCTCTATGAAATTTTGTAATACGACAACGACGAATTTGTCATCGATATTAAAACTTATTGAACAACTATTAAATCTATAATTTTTCATTGAAGACCATAAACATAACAAAAATATTGAAAGAAAGACATTACAATTTTCAAATATTATGGTTGTTAATAATTATTATTAAAGAAAATTGGGTAAACTAGTATAAAATATTTTTGATCCATAAAATAAAAACAACTGCCCTTTAATTAAAACATTTTAATTGAGCTTCATAATTTAAAAATGATGGATTTAAATCAAATATGACATTTACAAAAAGTGAAACCAATGCTATAGCACTTGAATTTTTTTCAACGTTTATTACTTGCCTAAATTTTTTATTTTCTGCCACGTTTATCGGGCAATTTATTTTTAGGAGGAGAAATTATAACAATTAAAATAAGAGAGATTATAAGAATGAGTTTAATTTTTTTTTGTAAAAAAATTAATACCGCAAGAAATAGTAACATAATTTTGAATTTTTTATTATAGTTACCAGATTTTATGAACCTAGACTGAAGCGCCGGATAACACAAAATAGCGTTTTATGTTTAGTTATACAAGTTAATAAATCAAAATAAGCTTTTGAAAAGTCAGTTTTGAGTGAATACAAACTTTAATTCGACAAGTTGAGCATTAATCATTCGTACATTGTTATTTCTCAGCCCATATGTACAATTTGAAATTTATTCACACATTCATATAACATAGATTAAGATATAATTATGAATCTTAATTTGCGTATAAAACTTATACACGGGTCAACTTTCTAAGGGACTATTTATGTTTGTCTTGGTTAAATATAACTAGTATACATTATTATAAAAATGATGCAAATAACATGCAATCGCTAAACAACGAATGAGTATTGCAATTTCATTACATGTCAAAAATAAGAATTTTTGTATCTACAGTAACATCTAAAATGGTCAATATTACAATTCATCATTCATTACAAAAGAAATAATAATATTAATAGGAATCCATCCAATTTGGCAATTACATGAAACAAAGATTATAATAAATTTGTCAAATGCCATTGGAATGAATATTTACAATTGCAATGCACCGTGTAATTTATCATTTTTGATAAAACAGTATCTTTAATTTGATAAACTTCCTAGAAATTTATAATTATTCACAATGGTGTTAAAATATTATTGATAATTATTAAGGTTACAAATTTTATCGACTTGAAAAAAATGCAAAACTCTTTTACAACAATATTTCCACGTCAGGGACGTGATGAGTTTATTACGAAAAAATAATAGTCAACATTCATTTCATCTAACATAATAAAAGATGACTTTTAATCTATCAAAAATATATGTATTTAGTTTGATTTTATCTGTTAAAACCAATACTGAGAAAAATTTAGAATTTCCAAGATACTAAGGTATATTTTTCAAAAAGATTTGCGAAGTAAAAGTTTATTATTAAAAACTTCTCTTTACTCGCATTTGAACCATCAATAGTTCAAAATTTATTTATACCGATCGGTTTGTAGTTTTAAAAAATCTAAAGCAAACATAATTTGAAAATAATTTCGTATCATTCAATTAATTCTATTAAGTGAGAGTTCTTGAAGTGTTTCATGACTTAGAAAATTTACATACATAAATGATTATTGTTACGACTCAGGGACGAAAATTTCCACATTTTCCGCGTTATTTGTGTTTAAGGATCGCATGGCGCGTCTTTTTTCTTCAATTAGTTGTCGACGAGTTTGATCCCGAGTTTCTCGGGCTTTGCGAGCTGAGGCACTGGCACTTGACTTACTTTTTGATGCGGGCGTTTGGTACCGACGCTTCGTATTCCCATTTAGGGGTGTGGCGGGGATAGGTTTTATTTCTGGAACAATCTATACCAAAGAGAATTAGTAAAGCCAGAAGAGTATTAGTATTTTAGAAAATGCTAATCAAACTCCCACCACTTACCTCTTTCCACTGAGCTTGTCTCGATTGTTCAAGTAGCTTGAACATTTCATGAACTTGAACAACTTGTAGAGAAACCATGTCCCAGAATCCTGCTAAATCTTCGCTAGTAGTTGGAAATTCTTCACCGGGTTCTTGATTCTGAAAATAAAAAAAACGTTTAAAATATAAGAAAAACTATCACAAAAAACTTGTTATATAGCATCACGTACAATATTTTTTTGGCAAAGTCCTTCAAACTGTTTCATTTTTTGAGTTGCTAACAGTCTAGCTTTTCCAGCAGCAGATCGTAATTTCCCAGCTGCTTCTTCGGGAAGCTCCGTTTCTGTATTACTATCAAGTTCTTTTTCAGCACTTTCTGCTAATGAAATTAATCTATCACGTTCCATATTCAAGAGCTAAAACAAAAAATACAATTATATTCAATACATTAAAAATTTATTAGTTGAAAAAAAAATACTTTTAAAGCATTCAATTAACTTACATTCATAAAATAATGGCCATCTTTGACAGGTACATTTTTTTCAAAATTATCGTCTTTTACGCAGATACTAGAACTTTCAGCTATTTCTGCAGCAGGCAAAACAACTTTTGGAGCTGCAGGTAGCTGGTCTGTATTCTGCATGCTGTTTGTCATCACAGAGATTGATTTCTCATTTTGCATGATGTCTGCAGGAGCTGCAACTTTCTCAGGCGTTCCTTTGGTACTAACTTTTTTGGTTTCTGTATTTTCTGCTACTGAAAGTCTGTTAAAAATTAAAGCAATAAGTCAATAGTTTCAAAACTAAGAAATATTAATTGATTTAACCGCAATTAATTTAACAATTACACAGAATCAAGAAAATGTGTAGATGTTGAATAATGCCATTGGAAATTTCTTCAATTAAGTACAAAAATTACCTTTTGAGAGGTTTTATAATTTGTTCTGTTCCGTCCGTTGCTTTACGTGGACTAACAACGGGTAGCTGAGCTCGAAATTCCGGTCGCAAATGGCGGAGAACGGGCAAAGTTCTCAGTGATTCTTCATCATTTGCTTCTTCTACCAAATTGTTGTTGTTACTTTTATTACTGGAATTATTTGAAACGTCGCTGGTGTTTAATCGAGGACTTCCGGTACTGCTTCGCTTGAAGAAGAAACCTTGAGCTAAAGCACCAGGCCCATAAAGACGTTCAACTCGTTGTTGAATGAAAGATTTCTCGCTGCCCGACGAGCAGTTGAGCATTCCGTAGTCGCCATCGGAAGATCCATTCAGTATGCTAGAATCGTTGAACGATGCATTATGTGATCCTGAAAAAGTATGCATTCATTTTATCGAACATTCGTTTAGTTGTGGACAAATATTTTTGAATTATAAAATAAAAAACTGTGTCAATTTATGTTATAAAACAATTTTCAATTTTTTCGGAAAAAGTTTGATTCATTAGCACATGCAACAGATGTGAGAACTTACCATTTTTTACTGGCAATTTTGGTGAAGAGCTGGTTACAGAAGAGAAAGATGCGTTTTGTTGGTTATAGGCGTGAACGCGCGAAGCCACGGGACTGTTTATACGTTTCTTAGGTGAATTCGAACAAACGGGATTGTACGAATCGATCGAGTGATTCAAATTACTGAGTCCTCGGTCGACCTCAGAGTAACCTTCCTCAACGTGTTGCGTTCGCGTCGTGCTTGTGCCACTGTTCGTGATGGTGGTGGTCGTCGTTTCGAGCTTGTATTTGCTTTCGCGGACTCCGTTGCTAAAACCATTGTGCTGGTTGCGATCCATTGCTAATGGAGATATCGACTTGTTCCCGCTTACTGTTAAATAACTTTGATGGCTGTACAGATTCTCGTGCGGCCTGTAATTGACAATGTCAAGTTTTTACGTTGATTCAAAAATTGGAAAAAGTTTTAAAGCAGACAAATATTTCACTGCTTTTTCAATAAAGAGTACATGTATACCTGGAGTCGCGAGTGATAAGCCTCGAAGCGCCTGGACTCGCGTCCCTGGAGCGAAAACCCTCGCGCAATTTACTGTCGTAGCACGTGATGTTGGTGTAACCGTTGATGCTGCAGGCCAAGCCCAAATAACTCGGCTTCTTTGACGTCGTCAGCTGCTGATCACCGTCCACCAGGTCGTCTGGCTGCTCTTGCTGAATATGGCCGTTTGACTGCTGCTCGTTTTTCGCGTGACCATTGCTCAATGCCGATTGGCCCCTTGTATCGCTGTTGTTGTTATTGCTGCTTCGGTTATTGTCACTGGCGTTGCCGTTGATGATATTGTTGTTGGCGTTGTTTTGATTGCTGTTGGCCCGGTCGCCGTTGCACGATAAGCTCAGGCTGTGCAAAGTTTTTTCCGATAAAGAACCCGCTGTTATCTCTGCAAATAAACAAATTATTTCACTTCTTGCTTCTCGAGCTTTTGCAAATACATAAACGATATGAGTGAACGAGTCTTCCGCGTGTAATCAAACTGATGCTGTGAGGTACAAATATAAATGTAACATGACAGGCGTGCTTTTACACGCAAAGTAAAATAATTGAAAAACGATCAGAAGGAATAAAAAAAACAAAGTTGAGAGCAAATTCACCAGAGCTCGTGATTCATCTCGCTCTACGCGAATAACCAACATAAATTAATTCAAATAAAAGACAAGGCATCTCTGTAGAAGTTTCAAAGCCATAACTTGACATAACAGCTCCTGTGAAAGCTTCATTGAGATCTAGCGCACAAAACTGCACACATTTTTCCATACAAACGAATAAAATTTTGTTCACTCACAAAATATCCATAACCATTCCACAAGCACAAGCGTAGAGATAAGGCGAGGCACGGAAAAAGCAACATTTACGTAGAGAAACGGTCTACACTTGTAATTGATTCATTTGGAGTAAGCCTGCTTCGCGCTGGTTCGCGACTGGACTCGATTTAATCTCGACGACGATCGTTGTCTGACGAGTGCAGTCGCCTAACTAGCCGCTTTTAGACTTCGCGTGAGCTTTTCTCGAGCGCGAAGGAAGTGAAAACGGAGCGAATAGGGCGGCAGTGCAGCGTCTCGTTGAAAGACGCTGAAGCAACTGCGAAAGAGAGAAAGAGAGAGAGAGAGAGAGAGAGAGAAAGAGAAAAAAAATTTCAAGATGATAGGGAAAGAAAGAAGAATAAAAAGACAAGGAAGAAAGAGAAGACGGTGAAATACATGTGCGAGTGCGCCAAGCTGCAGCAGGCGCACAGTGAGAGTGAGGAATGGCAAAGTGCAAGTGATGAATTTATGTAAATTCTGCAGCTGGTCCCTTTAAAAATGTCGCCCTGCCCCGTCTGCCTTTACGGAAATAGCTGCGGCTCTGGGCACGAAGCGCAGCCGAGCGACTGCCGAGAAAGGGTAAGATCCGCGTCGAGAGGCATCGCAGCGCAAATCGCAACGACTCCACGAGTAATGTAGCATTGCTCAGACGCGGAGTTTATTTGTTTTTTGTCGCGCGCCGAGAAAGAGATGATTCGGCTAGGCCTGACAGCTGGGCCCGCACGATACATTATTGTCGCGGCCTGCGAAATAAGCGGCTCCGATGCGTGACCAAGACAACGTCGTAATTCAACGAGACGTAATTGTAATTCGAGCGCGTACTTGCGACTTATTTATCGATGCAACGAAGAAATAGAGAAATAGTCGCGCGTTCTTTCAGTGAATTAGAAGGAGAAGGCGGTCGCTCGAAGACGCAATCGTATAAAAACAATAGTACAACGAACGTCGAATGTGCATTCGTGCAAATTCTTCGAGGCACGTGTAAGCCGCGGCCGCAGCGATTCGGCACTCGGATCGCGACACAGATGCATGCGTTTTTAGTCGCAGAACTCGCTTCGCAACATACCTCTTTGTACCAAGTATACAGGAAAATATCGATTTGGCGAGTTGAATCGCACGTGCCGAAGCAGGCCAGGCCACGGGCTTGATTGCAGACTCGGAGAATCGAGAGCACAGGACACGGGCCAGCACTATATGGCAGCACTATGCGGTGGTAGCACTATGGTCGCGTCTCCCGAGCCACGAGCCGATCGTGCCTCCAACTCTAGGCCTTGTATAACGTATACAAGTATAAGACGAGGTAAAAGGAAAAGGACGAAAGGACGGAGCTGGAGGTCTCTTGGAGCGATGGACTCGAGACGCGGAACGCGCTGTATTATGAACTCGTGGCTCGTCGAGGCTCGAGCGGCCGAAGCGACTGAATCATTGGTGCGCGAGCGAGCGAGCACTGCGTAAAATCCTCCGAGCACACTCGGCTATAGACACGCGCACAAGAAAACGAATAATGTGCTGCTGCTGCTTCTCTTTCTCCGTGTTTCGCAGAGCGAGTAGCTGTAAAGTCCGTAGTCTGCAGTCCGTGTCTCCCACAGCTGCTCGATGCAATGCGTGCGCAGGCTCCGCGCGCGAATATATGCCCGACCGCCGAGCCGACTACTATACCAGAGAATCGCGTGTTTGGAGTCCTCCTATGTATGTACCTCTGTATATTCTCTGCTGCCCGTCTGTGTGTGTGTGTATATATACGTACTGTGTGTGAGCCTACGTGCCGCAGTATGAGCGCGTCTCTATATACCATAAGCATTTCCTATATAGACGAACGTGCGCGCGGATAGGGCAATGTTGTACGCCGCGAGAAACCTACCGAGAGTCTATATAACACAGAGTATAACAGACCGCAAAGAGGATCGACCGACGATCCATGTGTTGCACACTTTTTCCTTCAAAGTCACGCATCGATGTATCGACTACCTCTCGCTCAACTAAATCTTGCACTCTCGGACATTCCCAGCCAACGTCCAATCAACATTCCATATTTTTACACCAACTTTCATCAAACATCTCATCTCTGGCTCTTACAACAAAAATATCGACGACTGATCGAGTTTTTATCGTTATTCCTACATCGTTGACTTGATTTAGTGACTGATCGATCGAGGCTAAAAGTACCCGAATTACAATCGCATCCGCACTTCTCACTGAACTTGCTCGAGTTGATAAACAAAGTCATTTTCCGACACCAATATCATCGGCCGACACTGCAAAGTTCATTTGATAAGCTTCGTTATTATCTCCTAATTTTCTACATATTTAGCTTAAAGCTTAATCGACAAGCTTATTTAATTTCAACGAATCGGCAAATAAAAGTATAATGATAATCAAAGTAAAATAAATATATTATATTATATGTATAAATTAAAAACTAAATGGGTGCATAAAATGAACGATGGCGCGGGTGCATTACAGTGATACATTACAGTATCACCTTTATTGTCATGATGATGTTGATGCGAACCTGATCGCTCGGAGGCCGATTTCTCAACGTCGAGGCTGCAGCTACCGATGCTCTCTTGACTCGTCATCTTGCGATGCGCACTTTTATCGCTCTTATTCTTGCGGTTACGGTTGTTGGTGGTGTTGGTGTTGTTGTTATTGCTTTTGTTGGCGATAATTTTCTTGGCTTGCGACGAGGCCACCTCTTTGGCTGCCTGATGCGGCGGCGGCGGTGACGGCTGCTGCACCGAGTCGGGATCGAGTCTCTGATAATTCAGAGGTTGAACCGCCAGCGAGTGGGGCCTCGAGCGCCTGGCCCCGCTTCCGTTGCCGCAACTGACTAGGCGAGACTCGGGGGGCGTCAGAAGGCCCGCCACCTCCGATCGATTCAGCTCCTCCGGCGAGGCCCTCTCTTCGTGCACACTGCAGCAACCCATCAACAACCAAACATGTTTCGAATCATCAATTTTTTTCGCAACATAATTTTCAGAGCTATCTATCTATAGTGTTACAATCAATGATTGTTCTCAATTGGCTCCTCTACTTTTTGTTTTGTAAATGTTAATGCGTTTATGATCAAACAAATGCATACTTCAAGCGTTTCCATTCAAAATTGCTTTGTATTGTTACTGTATAGAAGCTCATTCATCTGCACACTCAAATAGCTCGATTCTAGTATTGATAACATGATTGATTTTTGCTTAAAATAGCGTTCATTTCTCGGCAACGATCGGCCTTTAAACCATTGCGATTTTTATCGTTAATATTTGAACAGAGAATTACTTAGCGTTAGTCGAAAGTTTAAGTTAAAAGTTATGAGATAATGTACGATTGAAAATGCCTGATTATGTACACGCGTTCTTCGGAAACAATGAAAAAAATTATTGAAAACTTAGCATGGTTAATATTGTGCCAACTCGAGTTGAAAGGCGAAATGAAAAATCCACGCTTAAATAGCACGCGCCAGCCGAAAATAAATCCGGCTGGATTACACCCGAGCGAAGAACAAATAAACTATTTCCATCTCTATATATGAGCCTATGAGCAATGTCAAGTGGACTTACAGGTTTCTCGTCTCGGCTTACATCGCGCTCATGAAGTAAGCTGCCACTTATCAAAAGTTTTTACATGGGAGGCTAAACGAACCACATCTAATAGAGCTAATGGAGTATTAATCACGAAGGACGATGCACTTAATTTAAAACCAAGCAGATGATACGAGACTGTGAGAGGGCTGGCTATCGCATGCTTCCATTATTCTTTACAATTAACGAGTACTCCCTTACGATTTGACAGATTGATGAAAATTCACGTACTTAATTATGATTATTTGGAGTCTCGGAATACATACATGAAATTGTTTACATTTTTGTGTAAACTCGCGATGTAATACGGAATTAGATTACATATAATGTATCGCAAAACAGTATCAGTTGCTTGTGAATAAGCAGACTAAAATAAATCGATTGGAGGAATTCGTAAAACTCGCGCGAGAATACATTTCATCTATAAAAAAACATATTACTATAAGCGAAACAAATTTTTATGAAATTAGTAATTTATGATCAAAATTCATTTATTAATACACTGATAGTGGTAGAGGTGCATTTGCGATATGGCAAACTTTGTATTCAAATTTCTAACTGGGACTATACTGAGCGCTTATAACTTAACTTTTATTTCATGTTTAACGCGTTGTTGACAATTATTTATAAGCTTATAATTAATACGCGATTTTCTTAAGTCACGGCAATCATTGCAATTTGCTTTTTAAAAATGAGATCACTATTACTAGATCTTAACGATCAATACGAAAAGTAGGTTATTTCAAAATTCTCTAAAAGCAGGCAATTTTAAATTTTTGATGGAAAGTAGGCTATTTAAGATTTTACGACGAAAAATATCATGTTAGGGTCGCTTCAACAAGAAATGGTATAATTAAAATTAATAAACTATGGACTTTATTGAGCTAATTTATGCATTGGTGCTAAGCAATAAGTGTAAGTTTAAAGATTTTTTTACAAATGAATCGTAATTACTGTTTAGTTTAGTAATTGTACCAATTTTAAATAACCTACTTTTCGTATTCATCATAGTTTTTAAGTCTAATCTGAATTACACTACTTATTCTCTTAAGTGTCATTTTAAGATATTGATAAGATAAGGTGCATATTTCACATGCAACATTTTTGATATCATTATCGATTACTACAGAGATTTACTACTACTTTTGTTTAACGTGCTAAATAAAAATATTGTACATATGTAAAATAATACGAGAATTCTAAAAATATCAAATTTGTGATGAGGGGATTTAAAATTATAATAAGAAGCTACTTCGTGTATATGATTAATATTATTTCTTACTTAAAAAATATAAAACGTTTGTTTATATTAATTTAATTCACATTACACATCGCGTGCAAGAGATAAAAATATATATTTGTAAACTTTTTGAAAGTGAAGAAATCTAATTGATTTAAAATTGTTTGATACGAAAATCTCCAACATGTTATTATACGTACGAAGAGATGAAATAATTATGAATTACAATATTATTCATAGCGTAAGAAGCTTGAAAAAAAAACGATTTTCAACCAAGTCAATGGCAATGATATTCGCATGGAAAACATTTCTTTTGAGCATAAAGCAAGATGACTTAAAAAATGCACGATTCAGAAGATTCGTGTCTACGGTAAGTTTTCGAAAGCACACTCGTGAAAATTCTCCAAACACAAACAAGATAATAACGAATGAATTTGTTAAGAAAGGCAAATAGAACGTTGATGCATGTACCTTCGCCGCCAATGTTTCCAAACAGAAAATTTGGACAATTTCTTGGGTAAGGTGTTATCGGGCTTTCGCCGATTTACCGTGTAGGTGCCGCTCTCGATCAGAGGCATTCTGGTTGATGTTTCGAGCAACTGACTGATTGAGCCCGCACTAGCCTAGTCTCACGGGTAATAAATGTAACTTATTTATACGAGCTCGTGGCCGAGCTCACTGCACAATGTACACACGTTCGTAATCGATTCTAGTAAACGACTGGCGCTGATGACTTCTCGATTGATCAGCAGAGAGCCGCTAAATGCCGCTGATGACGATGGCGTGTCGGTGGCTATACTCTGCACGTATATACACCTTATACGCGAGTCGTCTATTTTCGTGCCCATACGTTTGGTCGGTATGCGTGATGGGACGTGCGCGAGCGCTTGAATTGCTCGCTATATCGCTGCCGATTGCGAAAAGATTAAACGAGCATTCGATCGAGCACGTGCCCGATATTTCAATATTTTATTACACACGTTCGACGTTTTTCATTTTTCTCACTTCTATTGTATGGGTGTGACCGTCGAGCGCAGATAGCGATGTAAGGAGCGACGATTCTTACAGACGTCAGCGATAAATCATTTGACGCATCCGTCGTGTATGCTAAGAGATGCTGAACGACGACCATCCAGACCTTGATACTACTGAGGGTGAGGCTCTCGATTAACAGTCGATGTACATTTTTATATTTTCTCTGGAACAGCGCTATCTTTTCAACTCTTTGATTGCACTGACAAAGAAATATTTTCACACAAAGATCGCCAAACGCAGCAAATGATGACGCGAAAAATGTAGTAGTATTTTATGTTTCGGTTAAAAAGCAAGAACAAAGTAATGTCACAGCGATATTCTTAAATGTAAATAACCCGACGCGTGCCAACTTGTAAATTTACCTCTTGAAAAAAACTAGCGACATGCTTAGCTTCGAAAAATTCCGTTTGTTTTTTTGTAAATTTTTAAACTCCATAGAACGAATGTGAATTTTCACGCCGACACCTAAATTAGCTATACTACTTTTAGATTACTTGAGTAATCTGGGGAAAAATGTAAAAACGTTTCTGAAATGGCGAAACAGCCTCACTTTTACTTCATTTTCGAGATTCAATCGGTAAAGGCTCGAATGGTTTTATTTTCACATGCAGCATGGAGAGTCACAGCATGAAGCGAGTAGCAAAAATAAATAGCGACAAAGGGCAAAAAAAAAGGCTCGAGCCGCGCGAGGAGAGATGCGAGAGGAAACACGTGAAGGTGTCGCGATCACGCGCGCGCGCACATTCCGCAATAAGTCGCGACTGACTAAAGACGGCTGCGACGACTCTGCTCCGTTTTTCCTTCCACCGTCTTTTGCTGGATTATAATACTCGAATACTAGACGCTGCAGCGCAACATCCGTCGTCGTCGTCGTCAGTCGGCGGTGGCGACGACGCACATTTACGTACGTATTTTCGGATCGCTCGACTTGACCCCTCTTTCACTAGCCCTCGACTAATATCTCCTAAGAGCCTTTGCGCTCCAACATTTCTCGGTTGGCGTAATATCACTTTTTCGAGAAGCGGAAGCGAGCTATCTCGAAATCAAATATTTTCAGCTTTGAAGCACCGAAATGAAAACACTATCACGTGTGCAGATATGGCACGCGTCTTCGACGGGGAAACCGTCCATCAGTTTTTATAACGACAGCATTCATATAGCAATGGTACTCTCGATAGGGCAATTCAAAATTCATCTTCGTGATTCATTAATAACGATTCAAAAAAGTATGTTCATACAACAATAATGATTTCTTCGGCTGGTAAAAGTTACGTATTAGAATGCCACAGTAACATCATTAATAATAATTATAACATAATTATGATCCATTTATATGATTACTGTTCATGGGAGCGTTGAGAATATGACGTGGACAGCGGTAAATTCTCATGCAAAGTTATGCGGCAAGTGGCGTCGATGTTGTGCGCAGTGCACAATGAGATGTCAGCAAGTTAACGACCCCAAGGTTCTATAACTGCACCCAATCCGTTACAAGTACACTTTCGCGTGCTATTTCATCGATCGCGTGCGCCATGAATTCGCGATAACTTAAAAATATTTGCATATACTATAAGCGAATTGTAAAATTTTCGAGCTATTCAAAAAACGTGACCTTTAGCCTTTTTTTTTAAATTCGACTGCATGAAAATGTAAGAATTTCACTTATTTTCAAAATTTGATGATATTCACATAATGGGCTCAAATCTAAGACCATATTATTACTTAAAATATAATAAAAAAACCCTAAATAAAAAAGATGATTTACATCTTAGAACAATTCATTTACGCGCATATGCTTAGAAACTCATATTTAATATCAATAATGTTTATAATTTTAAGCACCGATAAATAAATAGAAAATACTGATTTATCTCGAGTATATGTATAAATTCGTGAGAGCAGTAATGTTTGGCGCCCTGTTCTAAGGTAAGTGACATCGCGTGAACTCGCAAATTTCTATTTATAAGTAAGAAAATAAAGCAACGTGACATTTAAACCTTGCACGCGAGTGTTCTTCCTTTATTCTCAATTTTCTCGTTATATTTATCTTTGAATTTGAATTC